TAGCATAATTTGGTCAAATTCATTCCCCAGTTCTTCCCCTTTCCCTCCCTTTCTGCCTTCCCCTCAATCCCCGACATCTGGATTGTTCCCTTTAAAAGCATGTAGTGGCCTTCCTTTGTCTCTTCTGATTAATTTTTGCTTGAAATTTGCCTGGTCACATATGAGAATAGCTACTCCTGCTTGTTTATGAACTCCATTTGCATGTAACATCTTTTTCCATCCTTTTACTTTTAGCCTGAGGATGTCTTTTCCTATGAGTTTCTTGAAAATAGTATATGGTTGATCCTTGTTTTTCAATTTATCATGGACAGTCTTTTAATTGGAGAGTTGAGACAATTTATATTCAGAGCTACTCTGGAGAGATGTTTATTATTTCCATTCATTAGGGTTTGTGCCATACATTTAATTTGTTCTTAATTTTATTTTACCTAATTGCTCTTCTGAAGAGCTTCATCCATTTAAGAGCACTTGGGTTTGTTTTTGAGTTCTGTCTGTAAAATTTGAGTGTTTTCTACAGTACTAAAGTAATGGCCATGAATTCTTTTGTTTATCCTTATGGTGGAAAGTTTTCATTTCTTCTTCAATTCTGAACAACATCTTTGCTGAATATAGCAATCTTGACCAGCAATCGCTTTCTTTCAGAGCTTGGATTATCTCACCCAAGTCTTCATGGATTTTAGAGTCTGAGTTGAGAAATCAGAAGTAAGCCTTATTGTTTTACCTCTAAATGTGACCTGATGTTTTTTTTTTCTTGTGGTTTTAAAATTTTATCCCTATTCTCTATGTCAGTTATTTTGATTTGATGTGTGTTTTGGAGAGGTTTTTTTTTGTTTTGTTTTGGTTTTTTTTGGTTTTGTTTTGTTTTGTTTATCTTCTCTGTTTGGGGTTCTACGTGCTCCTGTATGTGGATGGCCATCTCATTCCTTAGGCTTGGAAAATTTTCTATTATTTCACTGAAAATTTTCTTAATGTTATTAGCCTGTATCACTATGCCCTCTTCTATCCCAATGGTTTTTACGTTTGGCCTCTTAATGTTGTCTAGAGTTCTCGTATATTCTAATCATGGTCTTTATTCTTCTTTAATGTCTACTGAGTGTTCCAATTCTTATACCCTGTTTCTGGAGCCTGAAGTTCTGTCTTCTATGTAATCTCATCTCTTGGTGATACTTTCAAGTGAATTTTTTATCTGATTCATCATGTAATTTCTAGGAGTTGATTGGTTTTAGAATGTTAATCTCTTTATTGAAATGGTCTTTCACCTCTTGTATTTGGTCTCCTGATTTATTTCTTAAAATATATTTTAGATATTCATTAATAATCTTAATAACTTTTATAATCTCTCTATGGAATTTAATTCTCTTTCATGTCTGTGTGTTCCTTTGTTTGGGGATTATAAATTGTGGGAGGAAACTTGTTTACCTGTTTCCTCATGTTATTAGAGGTCTTGGACTTGCATATTAAGATGGATTTCTTTTCCTCCTCTGTGAGAATGTCTTTTGGTGTATAGTTATCTTTTTTGTAATAAGTCCTATGTTGTGGGTATCTCTTAGTCCCAACACATAGCCTAAATGTAATCCAAGTGTTATTTTCAAATGCTAATGCCATTTAGTTTGCTACCGCAGAACTGCTAGTTTAATTCATTCTTGGAGGACTACTGCAACACTATGGATTCACCTTATCTATTGTTCTGGAATCTTTCTTTGATTTTGCTGAGGAGTAAATGTCCAAGACCCCCTTCTTTCCATTCCTATTTGGGGCCTGGTCATTGGTTTAGGAGTTTTGTCTCCCTAGTGTATGTGTTAAAGTATTGTTGAAGCTTCGTCATGGATGGTTTGTGTGTGGAGCAAGGTGTGCTGTCACTTGGCTGAGTTGTGGAGTACTGATCATTATACAGAATTACGATAACTGATCTGTGCCTACTATGACATCAACAACACCAATTGCTACTAAAAGAGAAATAGCAGGGTCAGCATTTAACAACAGCAACATCAACACGTCATGAATTATATCTAGCATGAAAACAAAGACCAGGTATTAACTACTCCCTCCATAGTACTAACAACCACAATACCATGAACGGTAGAGGCAGGAATTATAGAAATGAAATAGTTCTAAAAGATAGTAAAATTACAGTTTATTAAGAGAAAAGAAAATGGAATATGAAGGCAAAAGTTTCAAGTATTAAAAAAGTAAACAGAGGAAAAGCAAGAAGGAGGTAGCAAGTGATGGCTATATATATATATATATATATATATATATATATATAAAAGAGGGAGTAAAAAAATAACTAAATATGGGCTGGGGTTGTGGCTCAGTGGTGAAGCACTTGCCTGGTATGTGTGAGGCACTAGGTTCAATTCTCAGCACCACATAAAAATAAATAAATGAAATAAAGATATTGTGTTCATCTACAACTTAAAAAAATTTTTAAAGAAGTAACTAAACAAATAAAATGAGAATGAGAGAAATCGGCTATTGGAGGGGAAGAAAGGAGAGAAGGAGTGATAAGAGAAACAAAAATAAAATAAAAAGTCAAACCAAAACAAACAAAAACCCCTAACCCTCTAAAGTCAAAATAAGATGAAATAACAAATGGGTAAAAAAATGATAAAAATGAAGAGATGAAAAGTACACATATACATATATATGTATCCACAAACAAATCAGCACAGCAAGAATGCATGTGTGTGTGCACGTGCATACACACACAATACAGAAAAGAAGGGAAAAAAAATCTTAGCGAAAAATAAAGGCACTGTTCTCCACTGAGGTAGTCAAAACTGTTGAGAAGAATGGATGTTCACTACCCTTGCCTACTTCCCTTTGTTCTGTTTTTTCTTGGACTGTGTACAGCTCTTAGACAGAGCAATGGCTGGGTATTGCTAAACCTGTCTTGTTCAGTTGCTCACTAAGCTGCCGGCTGGAGTGGCCTGGAACTGAAGTTGGTTGTAAAAGCTCTCAGCTTCCCTCCTCATCAATATAAGGTAGGACAGAATGGGAAGTAGTGAAAATTGGAGTTTTGTCTGGTCAAACTAGTTAAAATGCACTCCCAGGGCAGGGCTGATGTAGAGTTCTAAATGTGAAGTCCAACAGCTAGTGTTTAGCCCTGATTGACCTTGTAATTTTGCCAGCAGTATCTGCTCTAGAAAGAAAAGCTTCACCCACTCTATTGCCAAGCAGGTATCCATCTATGCTGGGAAATATCAGAACTTCAGGGGCCTCCTGAGAACTGCACTTGTAGGAGAGAGCAACTAACTCTGCAGGTCTCTCACTTTCCACCACCCACAAATGTGGTCATGGCAGGACCAGGTCCCAAGTAAAATGTGCCCACCTGTGAAGATTCTGGGTTTTCTCTCACTGATCCCACAAGCTGCCAGACCCAAAGGGCAAGCAAGCCACACTCTGCTCTGTATCCCTAGCCTGAGTTCCCTGGACACAATCCTTTTTTTCCCCATCTCAGTCAAATCCTGCCAGGCACACTCTGTACCTCACAGCAGGCACTTGCTGGGACAGTCTGATACCACTTGTTACGATCTCTTGGGCTCCAGCAGCAGAAAGCTAACATGTGGCCACTTTGAGATGGTTCCCCACCTCAGCTCCACTGGCCAACAAAGAAATACAGAGTACTTTTCAAACACTAACTCTACATGCTGCTTCTGGGTCAGTTAAGATCACACTGCCTCTCTATTCCATAGGTTCCCCATGCCAATTTTTTCCATAGCTTTTCTCTCTTTTTGCCTGTGTCACCCTTCCCCTCTTTGGTGAACAGTTTCCCACTGGCACTACTGGCCTGGCTCTTCAAAATACCCAAATTTCTGTGTCTCTGTGATTCTGATATTGAATTCCCTCTCACGCACTTTCCTGGTAAGCAGCGAATCCCAGACACAGAACAACTGAAAAATGTACCTTCCTCTGATATTTCCTCATCCCTTAAAGCATTATTTTTCATGGCTACATTTATTTATTCACTTATCATTCATTCTAAAAATATCTACCCAGCATTCACTATGTGCCAACCACTGCTTTTACTGATAAAAATAAAGTAAGGAAGGAACAAAACAGAAAAAAATAGTCATTTTTATAATTCTCACTTGATATTTCTTTACATAGTTGTATTGTTAAAAATTTCTCAAACAGAATGGCCTATGCTATGGTTGGAATATGGATAGTGTTCTCTAAAGGTCCATGTGTAAAGTCTTAGTCTCCAGTAATAGTACTAGGAGGTGCTATGGATCTTGAAGAAATTGAACCTTTTGAGAGGTCGTCTCAAATACAGTCCATCATCATGGTAATAATCATAATTTCACAAGCTATACACATTACTATGTTACTAAAAGTAATAAAAAATGATAAAGCTTCTCTTTTCTACAATGATTTCAGATTAGGTCCTTATCCTAGAAATGGTGAACCATTGAAAGTTTCTCAGTAGAGGAATTACATAGATTATATTTCAACTCATGTTGAAATATAATCTCCATTATGAGATATTCTCATAGTTTAGGAAAATTATTTCAACAATAAAATGGAAAATTATATTCCTTGAATATAAATAAAATATTCCCTTAACATGTGCTTAATTTAATTGCAGTTGCAGAACTGAATACCTTGATATATTAATAAGGACTTCTATATAATTTCTACAAAATAACAGCCTAAGATCATTACAAAATAGCATTTAATTATGGTATCAGTTTTCTAGGGATGCCATAACAATTATACTATAGACTATTTTAAAGAACAGAAATTCTCACAGATTTGCAGGATAGAAGTCCAAGACTGAATTGTCAGCAGATCTGATGTCCTCTCAGGCCCCTCCTTTTTGCTCGCAAAAGGCAGTCTTCTTGCTTTGCCCTCGTGTGGTCTTTCCTCTGTGCACTGTCATCTCTGGTGCCTCTCCTTCTTACTAGGACATCAGTCACATTGGACTAGTGCCTACCAATGTGCCATACATACCTCCTAATTAAAGGTCCTATCTATAAATACAGTCACATTCTGAGGTATACAGGGAGATAAGACTTTAATATATGAATTTGTTAGGACACAACTTAGACCACACTTACTAATTAATACATGTAGTTCATACACCATTTAGAGGGGTGCACATTTTTCACATTACTTTTCAATAGTGGTAATATAATAGCATTTGGGTGATTAAACACTGATGCTTATTTTTTCCATGACTAGTTAAACATACCTATGAAACAGCTGTCACACAGGAGGAAATAATTTCAGAGAATGACACTGAAAAATCCATAAACACTGAGCATGTTAGTGTCAAACTGAAGCCTTCCCACAGAGGAGAAGTTATTTCCCAAGATGCTTACAGGCAGTTCTTGGTAAAGGTAAAACTTAAGTCCAAGGTAAACACAGTGATCCTCCTTCTGTACATGAGAAAATTGAGATTCAGAATTTAAGACTTCATGGTCATACAGATAAAGAGTTGGCATGGCTGGAATTTGTATCTTGCTCTCCAGAGGTTGCATATATAATTATTTTTACTTTTAGTCATCCTAGATAGTGCTACTAGGGAAATGATGAGAATTTAGTGAAACATAGAATTCAGGAAATCACTTTTTAATTCACGATTGTAATAGCTTATAGCTCTTTTTTACTTAAGTGAAGAGATTTTCAGGCTCCACGACCTCTCTACTAGATACACAATGGCATGAACTGAATTATAACAGAATTCTTCACTTTTCTGTCTCAATTTCTTCACCTAAAAAATTAGAATAATATCACTGCTAGGAATTTTAATATGGTCTGTCTCCTGTGAAACTCATGTTGAAATATAATCTCCATTATGAGATATTAAGAAGTATGACCAAGTGAGATCATTAAGGGATGATTAGGGCTCTGTCCTAATGATTGGATTAATAGGTCAATGGGTTATTTGGAGAGTGGGTCTGCTAAAAAAGACTAAATGCACTAAATGCAATTATATGTCACAAATTTTCTCTCCAAAAACAGAAATTAATTTAAATATAGAATTTACATAAATAACATGTAGATATTTATGCTCCCTTTAATAAAATATTAAAATCCTCCAGTTCTAATAAGATAGTAGGGTGTTTCCTCTGCAAAATGCAAGCAGTTTGTAGAAGGCAATAATATACATGTAAGTCTCTGGAATGTTTTCTCTATAGATATGAAATAAAATTTAACCTAGTACCATAACATCATTTAAAATTATTTGAAAATAATAACTGCCAAGTAAAGCTGTTTTTCACTGAACTAGTATTAAATATTATCTTGCTCTCTACTATTTCAGAAAAGAAGAGAGTTTGTATGGTCATAATATTAAATATAGTTCTAGTAAAAGCTTTATTCTTTATAAAGTGGAACTATTAAAAATGGATAACAAAAAGCTTCCTTTCTGATAACTAGTTATGAGTTCTTGAAAAGACCTTCTGGGAAGCTTAGAAAATTTGCTATTTCCCTCTAGGAAAATCTTTGTACTGAAAAGTATAGAAACCACAAGGAATAAGTGTAATACAGGCTTATTTTTTTCCAGAATTTAATGTTTTTGTAAAGACATAAAATATAAAATTTATCAAAAAATTTAAAGGTTCATTTGGGGCTAAATACTAGGATTGAAACTCTTCTTGTAATTGATTTAAGGTAAAAAGTAAACATAATATAAAAATACAACTGTTGTAGCTGTACAATATAAAGCCCACCTACAAAAGGTAGGACAAAGGTAGTTGTCTGAGAAAATATACACATAATGACCTTAGTGACAAATTTCAAATGGTTTCAGTTCCCAAGGTCTAAAAGAAGGATCATCTTGCATGCTTAGATTCCACTTCTTCAAGAATCCACTCTATGCCATTCAAAAAACCAGTTAAAGTTTCAGCCTCCGTATCCTGGACCTATGAGCAGATAAGAGAGAATGTTGTTAGTGATAAATTGAGTCCAAAATCCTGTGATGTTGAGGGATATTTTCTAGACACTTTAACAAAAAGAATTTAGAATATCTCAATAAATTTTGGGTAAGTTACTCAAGTGCTGTCTTATAGAATACTTAGATAAAAAATATTTTCTTGTATCTTTTCTCTAAGATGCAAATAAATAAATGAGAGACGATTATAACTAATACCACAGAAATACAACAACTATATGCCAACATATTGGAAAATCTAAAGAAATAGACAAACTTCTGAACACATAAAATCAACCAAAATTGAACAATGAAGATATAGAAAATCTAAACAGTCTAATAATGAACACTGAGATTAAATCAGTACTGAAAAGTCTTCCAACAAAGGAAAGCCCAGGATCAGATGGCTTTACTCCTAAAGTCGATAAAACTTTTAAGGAAGAACCAACTCTCTTCAAACTATTTCAACAAATTGAAAGGGAATGAATTCTTCTAAACCACAAGACAAGCACTGCCTAATACCAAAACCAGACATGCAGAAAACAATAAGAAAAAGAAAACTGTAGATCAATATCTAATGAAAAAAGATGGAAAATTTCCTGATAAAACACTAGCAAATTGAATTCAATAGCACCTCAAAATGATTATTCATTATGATCAAGTGGGATTTATCCCAGGAATGCAAAGATGGTTCAAAATATATAAATCAATAAATATATTGCATCATATCAAAAACCCAAAAATCATATGATTATGCAATAGATACACAAAAACATTCAATAAAATTCAACATCTCTTCATGATAAAAACTGAACAAATTAGGTATAGAACGATCATCCTCAGTATAATAAAAGCTATTCATAACAAACCCACAACCAACATTACACTGAAGTTTCAGCTTTTCCTTTAAAATCTGGAACAAAACAAAGATGCCCACTCTTATCAACATAGTACTAGAAGGCTTTTATTCAATAACACAATGAAAGGCTTAGCCAAAGCAATTAGGCAAGAGATATAAATTTAAAATTTTTTTAAAATAAAATCCTTGCAAATAAGAAGGGAACAAGTCAATTTATTCCCATTTATTCAATTTATTCCAATTTGTAGATGATATAGTTCTATATATATAGAAAAACCTAAAACCTCCACTATATGATCATTAGAAATGCTGAAAGAATTCTGTAAAATTGAGGGATATAAAATCAACATACAAAAATCAACAGCATTTTTATATACCAATAATGAGATTTCTGAGTAAAGAATCATTAAAGGACTCTCATTTGCAATAGCTAAAAAAATATATACAAAGGAATCAATTTAATTAAGGAAGTAAAAGATTTCTACAATGGGTGGAGAACAGGGAACCTTGACTTACTGTTCCTAGGAATATAAGTTTAAGAAAACAGCATGTAGGTTCCTCAAAAAATTAAAAATAGAACTACTACATGATCCAGCAATCCCCCTGCAAATATATCCAAAGGAAAGGAAATCTGTATGTCAGAGATATCTGCACCCCCATGTTCACTGAAGTACTAGTCTTGACTGCCAACACATTTAGAGTCAACTAATAAATGATAAAGATGTGATATATGCATATAACAGAGTACTATTCTACCATAAAAAATGAAATCTTGTCCTTTGTGACAACATGAACTGAGATCATGTTACACGAAATAAACCAGGCACAGAAAGACAACAACTACATAATCTCACATGTGGAATCTAAAATAATTTAATCTCATAGTTGAGAATAGACCTAGAAGCTGGGGATAGTATGGATAGGGAGGAATGGGGAAAGATTTAGCAATTGATGCTATGCTACAATTAGATACAAGTAAGAAGTTCCGGCCTGCACACTACAGCATAGTAGGGTGATGACAAATAACAAGAATGTGTTCTACATTTCAAAAAGCTAAAAGAATGGATTTTGAATGTGTTCATTATAAAGAACATTTGAAAAGAATGATATGTTTAACCTGATTTAAACATTATACAATGCATACTTGTGTTAAAACATTACATGGTACCCATTAATGAGTATAATTTTCATGTTAGTATTAGTTTAAAAATATATTTTTTAAATAAAAAGAGTCTGGGAAATAGCTACTCCTCTGACTAGTAGAGCTAAAACTCCCACTATTCTGGAAGTCTTCAATACACGTTCCAAAGAGTCTCTGGAGCTCCAGGGAAGATATGAGGGAAGATGGAATAAAATCTGCTAACATTTTCCATGAAAACATTTCCAACTTTATCGTTTCTTTACCTGTTGTCTCATAGGTTTTCATGTCAGGTTTCATTCAAAGAAAGAATTCCAAGATTAAAATAAACTTTGCAAAGTAATAAACTATATTCAGAAACCTGTTTGTTTTGTCTTTTTTTTTTTTTTTGCAATGCTGCGATCAAACCCAGGGCTTCATGCATCCCGAACCATACCCAATTACTATCTCTGTTTCTGTGACAGGAGAGGAAAGTGGGGAACAATTGGCTAACTGAGATATTAATACAATTCAAACATCTCCCATCAATAAAGCTCTTAAAATTGACTTTAAAATGCTGTTTCATAGAAGAGGATGAATGTGAAAGGATAAAACTTTTATTAATTGGACAAGTGACCCCCAAATTTCAAAGGCTTAGTTGCTAGGCCATGGTACTACTGCAAAGTGATAGAAAGAACCTTTAGGAGTTGAGGCCTAGTAGGAAGTCTTCTTATCACTGGGGACATGCCCTTGGAGGGGATATTGGGATTCCAATGTCTTCCTTTTTCTGTTTCATTCCTGGCCATGAGGTGGATGAGTATCCTCTGCCATGTACTTCCACCATGATCTACTGCCAGGCCACAGGCCCAAAAGCAACATGAACAACTGACCCTGGACTGAAACCTACAAAACTGTGAGAGAGATCTTCTAAGTGATTATCTCAGGTATTTGTTACAATAACAGAAAACTAATACAAAAATCAAATAGATAATAGAGTGAAAATGATATTTTTGTCACCAAAGAAGTTAAGACCTTACCATCCATGGGTGGTTTAGAAGATTGAGATGCAGCTCATGTGCCAAATAAAAACAGGGCATTCTTTTTACATCTGCTTGAGAAGTACAAGATAAAACCAGCATTGGTCTTCCTGAAGATCCAAAAGCTGGATCTGTCATTGCCATGATGCGAGAAAATTCATCTTGCCATTCATGTCCTAAGAAATGTAAATCAAAACCTTTAATTTATATAACCTCTAATGATTTTTAAAATCATAAAATTAAATTTAAAATGAACCAAATAAGGGAAAAAACTTTACCAAGCTCCAGACCAAAATGCCTCTTTCTGGGCTTTATTGCTTTGTCATAAAATTAGATTAAGGAATCTTTCAAGGATAGGAATTTAGGTTAAGCCAAAGGAGGGAAAAAAATCACAATACTGTTTGGAAGTATCTAGAGTTTAAATGTAAATATCTTTTATATAGATATTTTCCCTCACAAATTCTGTAGCTGTCACTGTCCTTTCTCTTCCAAAAGTCTTTTTTTTAATATTTATTTTTTAGTTGTAGGTGGACACAAAATCTTTATTTCATTTTTATGTGGTGCTGAGGATTGAACCCAGTGCCTCATGTGTGCTAGATGAGTACTCTGCCACAGAGCCACAACCTCAGCCCTCAAAAGTCTTAATTTCAAAATTTTAGCATATATTTGGTCCAATATTTTAATTCAAATTGATTATCATTTATTGGAGTGTTTACATTTTAGGTTAAGATACTTAGAATTAAGCATCTTAATTCTCAAATGACCCTATAACCCTTGCATAACCCTTTTCCCTTGAGTGGTGGAGAAGCATGCAAATATGAAGAGATATTGCTAAGCTTTAGGACACGGTTGACTTTAGCAAAGAAGAGGCTGAGCTTAATTAGTAAGCCTTTATGAGGGGTTCTTCCCAGTGAGACAGGATGAAGAGAGATTCTGGATTTGAAGATGGGAGGGAATACAGGGCAAGGAATGTAGGTGGCCTCTAGAAGATGAGAGCAGCCTCAGCTGCCAGCCAGCCAGAAAACAAGGACTCCAGTTCTTTCACAATGAGCACCTGAACTTAGCCATTAACTCAAGTGACCTTGGGAGTGGATTCTTCCCAAGAGCCTCAAGACAAGGATGTAGTCCATCTGTACTCTAACTTCAGTCCATGAGACCATAAGCAGAAAACCTACTCCTACCTTGCCTAGACTTCTGTTATACAGAACTGTGAGCTACCAGGTGTTGTTTGAAGTAGTTTGTTATATACAACTGAAAATGAATAAAAGATGTAATGTAACTATCTATCAATATGGTACATTTAAATCTAGTATTTCCTTCTTGGATTTGACTCTCCCATCAGTTCTTAGTTCATTTTTCCCTTTTTGCCTGCCTTCTTTCGTGGTTGAGTTTTGTTTGTTTGTTTTTTAAAGATTTCACTATTGGTTACTTAGTTATAACTCTGTTAAACTTTCATGGGGCTGGGGTTGCGGCTCAGCAGTAAAGTGCTTGCCTTGCACGTGTGAGCCACTGGGTTCAATTGTCCGCACCACATAAAAATAAATAAACAAAATAAAGATATTGTATCCATCTACAATAGAAAAAATTTTTAAAAAAACTTTCAGTAGTTGATCAAGGATCTATAGTCATTTTCTGTTGTTGATAAGGTGTTGGGGATTGAACCTAGGGCCTCACACATGCTAGGCAAGTAGTACTCTACCACTTAGCCACATCCCCAGCCATACAATAAACATTTTTAAATTGTAATAATTTACCTTTAAGTAATACAATATGATTATACATACAGAAGAAACACCCAATAATATACTTCAATTTTGCCTATGTTCTATTATCTTATACTTTACTTTAAAATAGCATATATCCATAATCCAATATTTTTCCTTTAAATAATTATGAAAAATTAAATCAGAAAAAATATCAGATATGCAACTGTATTGTTTCTACTTATAGATGCAAATTTTTATCTGGTGTCATGTTCTTTGGTCTGCAGAGGTTCCTTTAAGATTTTTTATCATGCAGATCTGTTGGCGATGAATTTTCTCAGTGCTTGGCTTGAATGTGTCCCCCAAAATTCATGTGTTGGAAATTTAATCTCCAGTGCAAGTGTCTTGGGAGGTAGAGACTTTGGTGGCAGGGATATTCAGAGTTCTGCCCTACTGAATGAGTTAATGTCAGCATAACAAGGGTTTATGGGAGAGGGTTCTCTTTGTTTTGTTTTTCTGCTATGTGAGGACATCGTATTTGTTCCACTTTCCCTTCCACTCTCCATATGGTGAAATACAGCAAGAAGGTCCTCACCAGACTTCAGAGGCTAGTGCCTTGATGTTGAATTTCTCAGCTTCCAGAACTCTACAAAATGTGTTTTGTCCTTTATAAATTTGACAGTATGTGGTATTCTTTCATAGCAACACGAAGGAACTAAAACATTCAACTTCTTTTCTGAAAAAGCCTCTATTTGCTCCATTTTTGAACAAATAATTTTGCTGAATATTGGATATTTTTTTCTCTGTTGCATTCTTGTCTTGCAGTAATTCTGTCAGGAAGTTTGCTGTCATTGTTACCTCCAGTCTTTTATATGTATATTTACTTTTTTTCTTGACTGCCTTCAAGATATTTTATTTATTTATGGTTTTCATCAGTTTGATTAATATGTAATTCTCTTTGTACTTATCTGGCTCAGAGTTCTCTGAGCATCTTTAATCTGTGGTTTTTTGTCTTTTAGCTATTTTGAAATAATTTTGGTCATTATTCAAAATTTTATTTTTTTCCTATTTTTTCTCCTTTTACATTTTGAGGCTCCAATTGCACAAAAGTTAAACTAGAGTTAGCATACTACATTCTGCAGATCTGTTTTGGCAAATAAATTTGGATTGGAAAATAGCCATATCTATCCATTTAAATGTTGTCTATAACTGCTTTCACACTAAAACAGCAAACTTGAGTGAGAAAAATTATATAACTCATATGCCTAAAACATAAAACATCTAATATTAAATCTAAAACTCTTAAGACAAAAAAAATCAAAGCAGGATTTTTTTGAAAGGCATTTTTTATTTGTTCTTTTTAAATATACTTGACAATAGAATGTATTTTGACATATTATACATATACGGAGTATACCTTATTCTAATTAGGACCCAATTCTTGTTTGTATATGATGTGGAGTTTCACTGATCATGTATTCATATATGAACACAAGAAAGTTATGTCCAATTCATTTTACTGTCTTTCCTATTCCCATCACCTCTTCCTTCCTAACTACCTATTCTTTTAAGAAGAAGTTTGCCGATGCCTAAGTTAGATCACTAGATAGGTTTTCCCAGCTCTCAGATGCTTCTGTTTCTTACTTTATTTTTATTTTTTCACTTTGTGTTTTAACTTGAATTCTCAGTGACCTATCTTCAGGTTCACTATTTCTTTCCTTTGTTGATAAACCCACTGAAAGAACTGTTCACTTGTTTACTATATTTTTATCTCTACCATTCTTATTTTACTTTTACAAAATAACTTCCTTTTTTCTGCTGAAAATTCTCATCTGTTCACACATATTGTTCAACTTTTCCTTTATATCTTTTAACACATTAATCATAATTATTTTAATGTCCCTTTCTGAGAGTGCCAGCATACAGTCTGTCTCTGGGTCTGACTCAACTGGCTGCCGTATCTACTGATAATTTGACATTTATTTATTTATTTATTATTTATTTTTTAATCTTTTGAGAAGGAGTATTGGTAGTTGGCCAGGCTTGTCTTGAAATCCTGAGCTCAAGTGATCCTACCACCTCAGCCTCCTGTGTAGCTAGAACTACAGGCACATGACACCGCATCCTGCTTTGATTTTTTGTTTGTTTTTGTCTTAGGAGTTTTAGATTTAATATTAGATGTTTTATGTAGAAGAGCAGTAGACTGCAGTAAAGAGGATTTACTCCCAGAAACATGTTTGCTCCTTCTACTCCTTCTTCTCCCTCTCCCTCTCCTCCTTCCTGTCCCCACATCTTTCTCCTCCTCCTCCTTCTGGTAAGCAGTGATTTGGGTCAAACCAGTCAGTCATTACAGAGTAGGACTGCTGCTACCTTGTTCTTAGTGCAAGAACTGGAATGTAAGTTTCTCTTTTCAGAGTTTTTGCTTTCCCCTCAGCTTTTAGATCTTCATACCTATGCAACTAAGGAGGAAGGGGAGAAAGCCTCTCCACACCCTTCCCTCAACCCCTGAAGTAGTTATTATTGTTTGTTACTTGGTAGGGCTGCTGAGACTTCTGTTTTCTTGCACCAGCCTCAGTCGTGGGTAGACCCTGTGTACTTGAGCCTCAGTGGTAGAAGCTTTTTTGGTGTTCTGGCATGTCTAGTAAATTCTGCCCTATATTGGTAGAAAAGTCTTCAGTGCAAACTTCCTGTCCTCCCCCAGAATCAGCAAACATAACTTTTATAAATGCAGAATCCTTAATAAAGGGGGGATTCCTATCCAGCCCCTGGGGCAGAATGCTTTTGCTTCTTCATTTCTCTGCAGCAACAGTTAACCTCTGCCAGGAATCAACAAGCAGGGGGATTTCTAATCCCATCCTGGTAGCAGAGAGCTTTGGCTTTTATTACAAAGGAATATAGAAAACAGGAGGATATACCTATCCTTTAATAGCAGCTAATCATCACATGCCTGACTGTATCATAAAGGAGGGTAACTCATAGGCCTCCTGCCCCTACCACTAACCTTCATATGAGCATTTAGTGGAGGCCACTGGAAAAGAGCTGGTGAGTGCAGATTATCTTTGTATCTTGAAACTTTTTTTTTTTAAGAGAGAGAGAGAATTTTTTAATATTTATTTTTTAGTTTTTGGTGGACACAACATCTTTATTTTATTTGTATATGGTGCTGAGGATCTAATCCAGCGCCCCGCGCATGCCAGGTGAGCGCGCTACCGCTTGAGCCACATCCTCAGCCCTCTTGCAACTTTTTAAAATTTATATTTCTACTTGTTTTATAGAATAATATAAGAATCAGACTGGGAAACTAGATAAAAGTAGGGTGTCTGTTTCAGTTCTCAATTTTATCTCTAGCACTAAATATAGCATTTGACCTCAACAACTGTTTCTGAATAAATGAATGTATCTTATATTTGTTTCAAAGTTTTCCTTTTATAGACATCCAAGTAAAAACAAAAATAATTTATATTTTCTTATGAATAATTTCTCTAGATTTGCAAAGTATAATAGCTTCCATGCCTAATGGATTATAGGAGAAATAAATTCAGGAGAAATTCAAAACAATGTATTAAAGAACTTATACATATAATAGTGTTCACTACATATAAACAATATATAACAGATATTTATTATATATTTACATTCTTGTTCACAAAGGATTTGGGAAAAATTATAATACTGGCTCATGGCCCAATGATGTCATAGCTTCATGACTAAATAGCATTGTAAATGGCAATTATTCAGAATACATGGAGAATGTCATCAACTCACCAACATAATTAATTAATCTACTTAATTACACACTATTCCCATACCTCCACTATTGAGGTAAAAACAAAGGTAAAATTTTTCATAGTCATCTATATAAATTGTTTAAATAAGTCAGACACAGAAAAAAGATCAATAATAAAAATGCAGAAGCATACAACCAAAAACATTATATAACTATAGTATCAAATTTTGACATGCATAAGAATTTCCCAGGTGCTTATAAAAAATAGGTGTCCAGGGCATAGTCCAAGTCTATGAATAGCAATCTACCAGCTGTATAAAAATTGGGTAACTATATGTTTCACAATTTCTCCAGGTGATCCTAATATATAAAGAGGCTTGTGAATCCAATATTAATAGTAACACTCATAAAATCAGAAGTAAAATTGACAGTCATATTCCCAAGATACTACAGTAAATACTAAAAAAACATTTTCTTATTTGTTTTATACAGAATAATACAGTAGTATTTTTTAAAAGACTATAAGAGAATGCTTACTTTTATGGGCTTCAGCATTTGCAACATAGATGAACCCATCTACAACTTCACACACTTTCTGGATCTGTGGAATTACAACATACCGGTTTCCCTGTTGGTCATCTCCTTCACTCTGTAAGCTGAACATCTTGTTGACTGCACTTGTATGTTCTTCCCTTGCTCTGTCTCTTTCCTTTCTATAAGAAAAATGTAAATAAATATACATCATATTATGACACTAAACAGGTTCCAACCCCCACAAATGTTCCAATCCTAATGTTTCAAGTGGGCTACCAAGTAGTCAACCTTACCTGGTAGTTGAATACAATATCAGGATGTTGAATTTATGTTGGTTGCTCAACTGAAAACTGACTCCTGATCCAATACCTAAAGTATAAAATCACAGTCATCAAAATAAATCATTAATAAAGACAGCAAAATATAAAACTGAAAAAAAAAATACCCAGTGAAAGCAAGAAGAGCAAAAAAAAAAAAAAAAAACTTCTGACAAGTTATATATAGCTTTGGAATAAAATGCAATGTTTAGTTGAAGAAGATGCTGTATGCAACTTTTATTCACATGGCAATAAAAATACAAACAGAGAATAAAGAACTGCTAGGTTCTTCATGTCATTTTTCACTAACTGCAGATATACTGATATTTTGAGTTAGACTTAGCTTAGAATCCTGAATTTGCTACTTAGAGCTATGTACTTGAGCACTTCCATTTTGATAAAAAAAAAATGGTAATAATATATTTTTCTTAAAGTTATTATGGGACTTAACTGAGATCCTATATGTAAAACTCCCAGTACAGTGACTGAGAATAATAGGTGCTGAATTTTATTTTTTTAGATTGTATATATGAGTCATTTGACACTGTTATTTGTCGCTCTTTGTTAACCTTTTTTCTTCCTTTGGCTGGATTAACACTCAGTGATTGATTTTCTTCTTGTTGCCTGGAAAAATGGGTTCTGAGAATTACCTCTTCTTCTTGCTATATTAATGTTCTCTTCTTGCTATGTAAGCATCCTCTTAGATCTGTCCTCTTTATCCTCGCTTGCATCCTTTAGTCTAACCAGTCTCCTATATCCTCTTGTCTTCAACTATCCTTCTGATAGCAGCTGAAGAGATTGCTTAATAATATCTATCTAACTGCATCTCTTCTTTACAAAGTCATTCACTGCACTTCAGATAGAGAAATAATATCTTAACATAATCTGGCCCCTACTTAGCTCATTAGAGACAACTCCAGGCTTCCATACCTTTAATCTCTGCCATATAATGAATCTGTTTGTTTAAATAAGCTATGCCATGCCATTTCATGTCACCATTCTAGGCAACACATGTAAACAGTGTCATGACTCTTGGATAATGGGACTGCAACCATCCCAGACCACATGACCCTGGTCCTCTAGCCATCAATTTTGGTGCTCCACCAAGAAATCATGGAAATAAAAAAATCTACCATGTTTCTGAACTTTGGTTTCATCAGTTTAACTCCCCCAAATTGTCCTTTTAAAACATCTAACCTCCGTCCAACCTGTCCTAATACTGTCCTGCACTTATTCACCAATGAAGTAAATTTCTTCTCTGATCTTGTAGAGTTTATGGCATAAGTAGAGTTACATATTTAAGCAATACTTCAGCTTCTGCTAGAGAATGGAATTTCCATTTTATAACTGGCAAATTTTACCATAGCCTCCATCTCTTCTTAAAATGCTCCCCCCATCTAATGGACTTACCTGAAACTGACCTGCCCCTAGGTGCTACTTCTCTTGCCATGGACTCTCAAGTAACAAAATTGCTTATTTTCTCACACTTCATAGTAAATAAGGTGGGAATGATGTTTCTTTACTCCCAATACCATATCTAAACCATTACTCACAAACTTTCTTTAAAAACTCCATCCATTTAAGAATCACAGCTGTAGCACCATCTTGTTTTCCTCAACCATGTCATTTATGAAGAAATAGTTCCTTCCCCCAAATATTCACTGAAGATTTCAGCACCTAGATCATAATCTTCCTCTCTATCCCCCCAAACTTCCAAGTTCACATACACTCCATTTGACTCCCAAATCTCAATTTCTAGCTCAGATGTTGCTCTTAATACCTGAGTGCATAAAGTGATCCATTTAGCCATTCATTCACAAAACATATATGGAGAGCCTACTATAGCCTGGCACCACAGATACAGTTGAGAACAAAGATGGCAAGATTCCTGGCCTCATGCAGCTTCTACTCAAATGGATAGCTTATAATAGGCATCTCTTCTTTGATCTTCCACAGAGTTATCAAAGTCAAAATAATCCAAAGTGCTGTTATTCTCCCCATACTGATCCCATTCCTAACCCCTACATGTCTGCATCCCTACATCTAATAGGTGCACTCAATAAATGAATATGTAAAGCCTAAGTTAAATTGGTCATTACGTATCCTAACTTTCCAAATAATTAAATACTTTTTTCATAGAGAGGAAGATGATGATTTAGCTTTTTTTTTTACATATACAAACATATATCAAAATCCTTTGCAATAGATGGTGATTGTCTTATTATAATAACTTTTTCTTAAAATAAACATGATATCTGCTGTTTGAATATAATATCCTGACAAGATGTAATTTACTTTCATATAATCTTAAATTCTGGATTATACAAATTTAAGGAATTAAGAGGAAACTTACTGCTTACAATAACTACACAATTTGTTTCAGTCCAGTGGGATCTATAGGAGGGCACCAAGTTACTATATTTCCTTACTACTAAAGAATTAAAATGAGTTAATTTGCCTTTAAGACTATAGTCAAGTTCAAAGTATATGAATTATTATGTACTATAGACATAAAATTACCATCAATCTGCCTGTGAGGCAAACCAGCAGTTGGACTAAGTTCCTCAGAAGACATCAAGCTCAACACCAAAGATGTATTCAGTTCTTCCAAACCTGGTCCAAACATAGCAAATCGTGGTTCATTCTGAATGATTAATGAGTGTAAAAAGGAGGTGACGGCTCCATACATAGGACGGCTGGATTTTGAGGCTCTTCTGGTATGTGGACAGCACATTTTATAACTGTATAAAATTGTCACAATTAGAAATTAACACAGAAAACATTGAGCCACTTGTTCATTTAAGAACACATGTTATTATCAAGCTGGACATAGGATAGGACCATAAGTATTATACAGTCCCAATCCACTAGGAGGACATTACCATGGCAGGGAAAAACACAAGGTGCTGTGGGAGTGGAAGTGGTTCAGACACTGAGGAAGTCCTCCCCAGGAAGTGGCTACTTACTTTCTCATTTTCCATTTAGATTCTTTCATAGAACACTTAGTCTAACATTTATTTGGTCAGAATTTACTACATAGCTCATTGTCCTCAACCTGAGGAAGTTTTATTCCCCCTTTCTGTAATATTTGAAAACATCTAAACATTTCTGTTTGCACAACTGAGGAGAAAGGGGCCACTCTACTCCATCTAGTGAGTAGAGGCCAGGGATGCTGCTATACATCAGACAATGCACAAGACAGTCCCCTACAACTACTGGTCCAAAATGTCAACAATGCTAAGACTGAAACATAACAATAAGCTAAACAATGACAATAAGCTATCCAGAGAGTATAAGTTTCATGAGAAGCGCTTTTTAAAACAAACTAAGGCCACCAAAATTAACAAATTTCTTAGTTACTCCTATTACCAGCTTAAAATGTAATAGTTTGGTAAAAGCTAGCTGTAGAGGGAATGCTTAAACATTCCTTATAGAAAACCGAGCAAACAGTCATGTGAAAGAAACAATTCAGTTTCTTTCAATACATATAAACCTCTAAACTAATAATCAATTTTATCAGTTATTAAAACAGTTATCCAAAATGAAACAGAACCCAATGCCCTTTGTTATTGTTTGGATCTGAAACATCTCCCAAAGGCACATTTGTCAAAGGCCTGGTCACCAGCCTGTGGTGCTACTAGGAGGAAGCAGAGTTGGGGGCTCAGTGGAAGAAAGGTAGGTCACTGGGGTGGGGTAACATTCCCTGGGAGGGGGTATTAGGAAGCAGGCCCCCTTCTGTCTATCTCGTTGCTTCCTAGCCACCACACAGTAAGCAGCTTTGTTCTACCAAGCACTCTGAAATTCTAAGTCGAAATAAATCTTTCTTCCTTATAATTACCTCAAGTATTTTATAACAACAAAAGAAAGCTGGATGACACAGCCTTTAAATGAATCAAGCTGCCAAAGACAATTACTAAGCTAACAAAATCATCTCTATTAGTAATGAAACTTGTAATTCACACACACACAAATTTAACTTTGAAGCCAAGTAGCCTCTCCACGCCTTACCACTTTAACTAGTTATTAAGCCACTTAGAATTCCATTTTCTTCATCTGCTTTGTTGAGCAATAACATCCCAGGGTTGTAAGGAATAGAAATAATTACATAATCACAAATGGCAGTTACTATGATTGTTACTATTCCCTGGGGAAAATATGGTTCCACATCATCAGATAAACTTGATGCTATGGTTGCCTATGGGGGCAAATCAGAGGTATTGCCCAACAAGTTACATAAAAGGTGGCACTTGTTGATATTATATACAATACATTATGTACACTTTCATCAAGTAGCTTGATGAGACATAGTGGCATATGGATTGAAATAAGGAAAGACTAAATAAGTTTAATAAAATTTGGGAGAAAAATCCTATTGGGGGCTGGAAAAGTAACTCCTTGGCAGAGTGCTTCCCTATGAGGTCTGAAGTCCGGGGTTCCGTCCTCAGCACTGGGAAAAAAAAGAAAAAGTTCTACAATAGCTCCTAATTCTAGCCCAGGAAAACAATTCTTACCTAAAGCGGAGATACTACAAAATTTATTTTACAACACCTTAACTTTGGGGTTCTCAAGAAGGGAGATTATATTTACATTCAACAACATTATATGACTTTGAGGTAGCATGATAGGGTTCCAATCTGAATAGTTCTTTATAAACGTTAGACAAATCACATCACCTCTTTGAACCTCAATTCTACATTCACAACACAAAGACAAAACCCTCATGTTGTATGAGGACTGAATGAGTAAATATACATAAAGCATCCCCCATAGAATCCAATATACTGCCTTTGTTCAATAATTCTCTCACATTCATGATATTTAAAAATGTAACTACTTTTGGATGATAACAAAATTTTATTTCCCAGAGTCTTGAGGATAATTTTCTTCAATGCCAAAAAACTACTTTCTCATCTCTGGCCATTCCTTTTCTGAATTTGGAAAAGTATTTTTTAACAAAAAGATAAGTGTTCCAAAGATAATGAGAATGTTAAGTGTTTTATTTCTTGCCATTCTATTATGGTTTGGATTTTAATTTAAAGACCCATATGCTAAAGGCTTGGTCACCAGTCTGTGGCACCAATGGGAGATAGGGCCTACTGAAGGAAGTCAGGTTACTGGGGCTATGCCCTTGCTGGTAATATTGGGACCCCAGGCTTTCCTTTCTCTCTTTGCTTTCCAGCTGCCATGAGGTGGGCAGTGTCCTTTGCTATACTTCCACCATGATATACTGTTCAGCCACAGGCCCTAAACCAATAGCGCCAATAGACCAGGGACTAAAACCTCTGAAACTGAAGCAAAATAAACCTCCTCCTTTAAGCCATTTAGCTTAGGTATTTTTTATTAAAATACTGGTTAGGCACCACAGAGAAATGTTAAAGCTGAAAGGTCTATGAAGGAAGTCAATTAACTCAACCTCTAATTTTGACAACAGAACACTTAAGACTCAAAATCCATACAAAAAATCAATAGCAGGGCCTGAGCAAATGTGGACTCTTTATAGGTTGAAAACGAATATCTCTTTTTAATTCATAAAACTAGATACTTACACTGCCATGTAATCAAAAGATGCATTGTCAGTGACCTCAGATATAGGCTTTTTTAAGATTTCTACATCTGGAAGAGACTTCCAGTCAACAGAAGACCAAGAAGGAAGATCTCGCAACAGAAAGTATCTCCACAGAATTGGATCTCGTACAGTTTCGTTCCAATAATGATTTGTACTTCCCAGCTGACACAGATCATGGGGTGAAAGAAATGACAAAATATATAGCTGGACATCAATCTGCAACAGAAGAAAGCAGTAGCTCAGAAAAAGGAATAAATAATTTATCTTGGAAAATTATTGTTGATGATAAGTTGAACAATTAACAAAGAATTATACTGAACAACTAGAGGTCAACTGAACTAGTCAGCAGTTTTAATAGTTAAATATATATACTTTCTGCAGAAATTTTCATGCCATCAGGAGGAAAAAAACTGGACACTTTAATTTCTGACACACTGAAACATTCTTGAAAAACCAACTACTGTCCTGCTATTTTTCAAGCAAAATAATTATAAAGCTCCGCAATTTCTTCTCATGGCTATTTTGATATAGCATTTACTTAAGTTAATTAGCTAAGGAAATAACTTATTCTTCAAAATAAAACCTTTATTAAGTGAACAAATTTCTGATCTTACCATTAGATCAAATTAAAGAATGGAAATTTGTTATCTGATTTCCTATCTATAATTTATTAAACTGTTTCAAAGAACACTGAAAGGAGGAGAACCTTGGAGGCATTCTGATCTTGCAGTTTCCAATTTGGGATGAACAATAGAGCAAGATGTCAATAATCCAAATGATACACAGAATTGAAATTTTCAGAGATTTCTGTTCTCTCCACTTTTCTATCTGCCTACAAAGTTTTAACACTAGATAACTAGTACAATCTTTGTGGCCTGTTGTAACTTAAGGCACTTACTTTCAACCAAGTGGCAGTTTTGATCCTAATACACAATTAGGTAACAGCAACGTCCTGGGAGAGTGTTTAATACTCTGAGCCGGGGATAAAAGCTGCTGAGAACCTAAACGCTGGAAGAATTTCGTAAACTGACCCTGGGTCGGAAAGTCCTGTTTCTCACCCGGATGTCCAGGCTGTCCTGGGACCCAGGGCTGCCTCAGGGACAGATAAGAGAGCAGCGCTCTAGCTGGTCAGCAGGACAGCCACAAGGTGTCCTGTGACCTTCGCTAGCTGGGGAGGACCAGGGTCAACACCAAGGCCGTTCCTGTCAACTGCTACTGCCCGGCTACACAGCCTGAAATGGCAGCAGGAGCGGGGACCGCGGAGGCCCGCAGCTTGAGGCCCCCGCGGCCTCGGCGGCCCTGGCTCACCGGCAGCTGCGTCAAGGTGCTGGTGTCCTCGTCCGCCTCCTCTCGGGAGGCCGTCCGCACAGTCCTCTCCTTGCCCACCGACTGCCAGAACGTCCTCCAGCCGCTGAGGATGGCAGCCTCCAGGCGGCCCCAATCGCTCGGGGGCGGCGGGGAGGAGCTGGTTCCGCTGCGCGGCTCGCTCCCTGCCATGACCCCCGCGCCACGTAACGCGCCCGGGGCGTGCGCTTGCGCTGGGACCCGCTCCGCGTCGCTCCGCGGGACTGGGCAGAGACGTGGGCCCAGCTCGACTCACAGTGCCCTCCAGCAACCGCTTCCGGGTTCGCTTAGCTGCTGGCCTCTGCGGCAGACCCGCTGGCCGCACCCTGAGCCATAAAAACCTCTGGCTCCTTAACGACTTCCTGACTTTAAGGTGTTCCCTCTGGCTAGAGCCCGTTTCCTCTCGCCTGGCCCGGGCGACTGCTGCTTGGTGGAGGAATGTCCCTCCTTCCACTATCTTGGACTTAATAACCAAGTTGCTTCCTTCTCAGTACTTAGGCATGGGCAGGTTTTTGTTTTTTGGTTGTTCAGTCAACAGTTTACCATCTCATCTTTTGGAGATTAGCAAAAATTGAAACAATGTCAAGTCAGGAGTCTGTGGAATTAAGTTCCCTTAAGAAGCCTCATGAATTAAGTTCCCTTAAGAAGCCGCATCTATATTAACCTACAGCCTGTTTTGACCTCCACCTACTGGAAAATGGTGATTTTGGAGAGACTGAATGTTGTAGGTCGAGAGCCAAAATGACTGTTAAGTAAAACTTACGTATTGCTAGCTTAGCAGACCCCTTTCACCTACCTTAAGGCTAAGAATGCTGTACCGGAAACCTATGGAAAAGATTTCTCCATTTTGCTGCAACCCAGGTACCACTGGGTTAATATTATTTAATGACCATGGTTTTATGGCTCAAAGTTCCACAAGGAAGCATGCCATTAAATATAACTTGAGTCACTGTTCCCAGGCTATGATTACTCGGATCTGGTTTGGAATAATCTTATTTCCTTAGAGTTGCTATTTTACACGGACAAGCCCAATCATAAAGAACTCATGCCAAAAAATTAGTAGGAGTTTGAGCCCACTATTCAACAATGCAAGTACAGTAAAAATCGCTGAGCAGACCATCTCATAAAAGGGCCAAAAACAAAGCAACAGCTGACAGAGAACCTAGATGTAGTATTGTTGAAATCTCACTAAGGAATTTTTGTCTCTCCAAATTGATGCCTATCAAAATCTCAAACCTTCAATGATACTACAGAGCTACAGTAACAAAAACAGCATGGTTTTGGCACCAAAACAGGCAAGAGACCAATGGAACAGAAGATACAGAGCTAAACCACAGAAACCCAGTTACCTCATTCTAGACAAAGGAGCCTAAAACATATATTGGGGAAAAGATAGCCTCTTCAACAAATGGTGCTGGAAAAACTGGAAATCCATATGTAGGAATATGAAATTTAATCCCTCTCACCCTGTACAAAACTCAAAAGTGGATCAAATACCTAGAATTGAGATCAGAAAACCCATACATACTAAAAGAAAATGTAGACCCAACATGCTAACATATCAGCTCAGAAACTGACTTTCTTAATAAGGAATCCTAAAGCACAAGAAGTAAAATAAAAAATCAAACTAAAAAGTTTGACATCAAACTAAAACGTTTCTTCCCAGCAAAGGAAACAATCAACAGCATGAAGAAAGAGACTATAGAATGGGAGAAAATCTGTACCACCTGCACCTCAGATGCAGCATTAGTTTCTAGGATATATATAAAGAATTCAAAATACTTCATACCAAAAAAACAACCCAATCGATAAATGGGCAAAGGAACTGAACAGACACTTTTCAGAAGAAGAAATTTATGAATGGTTAACATATATGAAAAAATGTTCAACATATCTAGCAATTAGAGAAATGAAAATTAAAACTACACTGAGATCCATCTCACTTCAGTCAGAATGACAATAATTAAGAATACAAATAACAATAAATGTTGGAGAGAATATGGGGGGAAATGTACACTCATACATTGCTGGTGAGACTGCAAATTGGTGCAATCTTTCCAGAAAGCAGTATGGAGATTCCTCAAAAAACTAGGAATGGACCCACCATTTGACCCAGCTATTCCACTCCTCAGTATATATCCAAAGGATTTAAAATCAGAATACTATAGTGATGCAGCCACACCAATGTTTATAGCAGCTCAATTCACAACAGCTAAGGAGCCCTTCAACAAGTGAATGAATAAATAAATGAGTGTTGATTTTATATCCTGCTACTTTGCTGAATTCATTTACTAGTTCTAGAAGTTTTCTGGTGGAACTTTTAGGGTCTTCCAGGTATAGAATCCTATCTATACTCAAAGGACTTAAAAACAGCATACTACAGGGACACAGCCACATCAATGTTTATAGCAGGACAATTCACAATATCTAAACTGTGGAACCAACATAGATGCCCTTCAAGAGATGAATGCATTAAAAAAATGTGGCATATATACTCAATGGAATATTATTCAGCAATAAGAGAATAAAATCATGGCATATGCAGGTAAATGGGTTGAGTTAGATAATGCTAAGTGAAGTTGGCCAATCCCAAAAAACCAAATGTTGAATGTTTTCTTTGATATAGGGAGACTGATTCATAGTGGGATAGGGAGAGGGAGCATGGGAAGAATAGAGGAACTCTAGATAGGGCAGGGGGTGGGAGGGGCAGGTAGCAGGCACGGGGTAATTAATGATAGTGAAATGTAATGATCATTATTATCCAAACTACAGGTATGAAGACACAAATTAGTGTGAATATACTATGTATACAACAGAGATATGAAAAAATGTGCTTTATATTTGTAATAAGAATTGTAATGCATTTCACTGTCATATATAAATTAAAAAAGAAATGAATGAATAAAGAAAATGTGGTATATGTACACAATGGAGTATTACTCAGCCATAAGGAAGAATGATTTTATGACATTCATGAATAAATGGATAAATGTGGAGATTATCATGCTAAGTGAAATAAGCCAGTCCTAAAAAGCCAAAGGTCCAGTGTTTTCTCTGATTTGTGGAAGCTAACCCACAATAAGGGGGAAAGGGAAGAATAGAATAGATATTCAGGAGATTAGGCAAAGGGGAATAGGAAAAGAAGAAACAGTGGAATGAATCTGTAACAATTTTCCTATATTCTTATATTCTATATTATCATAGAGTGAATCCCACCAGTATGTACATCCATAAGAATGGGGTGCTAATTAGAATAAGATATATTCCATGCATGTATAATTATATCAAAATGAATTCTACTGTCATGTATAACTAAAAAATGTTAAAAATTTTTTGATTCCTATTCTACTCACTTTGCTTTTACTTCAAAAGGGCTTTAAAAAACTACACCAGAGACAGATCATATTACAAGACAATCTATTATAAAGAACACAGTTTAGTTTCTGAAGGTAGGAAATAACTTAAATTCAGAACTACACACCTGTCAGTCATTTTCAAACTGATTACTTAATCTAAACCAGAGAACATTCTGTTCCAAAACCAGATCTCTATTGCTTAAAAGAATATTTCAGTTTAATATTACATTAAATATATAATTTAAGATTTTTAGGATTATTCAGAAAAGAGTAGGACAGTATCCATCACAAGATGTAAAAGAAAACTGCACCTGAATAAAATTAATCAATGATTTTAAAATTCTATAATAGAGTTAGATTCCACATAATCTGGGTTAAATTCATTTCTAACTAGTGATTGCTTATCATATCCAGGACATGAAGATATTCAAAGGTGAAAATTCTAAATTTCACAATGACCCTCTGTACAAAATTGTTTTATTACCTCAATTGTCAAAACATCTAACCCAAGTCAGCTGGCTAAAATTAATCCCATTTATGACTTAAAAAAAAAAGATGTGATAACCATCTTCAAAAACTATAAAATCTTTAAGGATTATGGGAAGTTATAGAAAACATACATTTTATGAATATACGTATTTAAATAAATACATATATTTAATATTTTATATACCAACACATAACAGAGTGCTTAATGGTCAATGAAGCACTATAATGTATTGGTGTGAACTTGCATTCAAAATGTATCTGAGAATCTAAATGAAACAGAAATTCAAAAAAGCCTTATAGCTGAGAGTGTCTGGATCCCCATAATAGCAAGAAGACAAAAACATTAGCTCATTATCAAGTGAATGAGAAATATACTTAATAGGGAAAAATCTGAACATATAGAAAAGGAGAAAGAATAATAATCTCCTATATACCCAATTTTTTTAATTCAACAATTTCCAACATCTGGTCAGTCTTTCTCTGTCATTCTCCCCACCTATCACCACATCCCCAATTTTGGTTTTTTTTAAAAAAGTAAATCCTAGATATCATGTCATTTTATCCTTAACTATCTCCCTGTTTCCTATAAAATAAGAGACAGATATGAAATGTAACTACTGTACACAATTATTACACTTAAATTAACCATTCTTTAAAATCAAAATCTTTGTCAATGTTCCAATTTCCCCATATACCTTCACATTTGGTTTGTTTGAAGCATGACCCAATAAGGTCTACAAATTGCATATATTCTTAGAACTTTTTAAATCTTTATACTCCTCCTCCTTTACTTTGCCTTGCAATTTGTTAAATCATGTTGATCTTTCTGGACCACATTCCGGACCTTCTTGATGGTATCTCAATGATCTTTAACACATTCTTCTGTCCCAGACTTGGGTCAAATTCAGGTTTATTTTGTAAAGCATTTTTTAAGTGATATTGTGTACTTAGATTGGGATTGACAAGTCATTCTTGTTTTATAATGATCAGAGTGATCAATGGTTTCAATGACCTGATCCAAATTCCCCATGCCGAAGGCCGGCTGGCTGGGCAAAATAACGGGGGGGGGGGGGGGGGGGGGGGTGAGGAACAACTTGTGTAGATTGATACAGCAGGAGTAGGAGCCATTTATTGCAGGACAGGAGCGGTTTTATACATTCCACACAGCTTATCTTAATTAGCATAAACTAGATACATCAGTCAACCAATAAGGAATCTACACACTTAATGGCTTGCTGGCGTTACTTCACAAATCACTCCCTCTGGCATTTTGCCAGGCGCCATCCAGACTTGTTTACAGACTCTAACATCCCCAGACTTTCCACTTCAATGATTTAGCAGTTAATGATAAATATTATTTGATCACGTGTTGCAGAGTGTTAGTATCTTGCTTTGTATTTCCTTTTATTAAATCAACTTAAAAAAATGTTTCCCATTATAAACCATTTGAGTGTCTTGCCTGAATCAATCATCAACAAGCAGCCATGGTTCATTCTGATGGGTAACAGTATTTGGACTTTGTTTCTAGGACTTTTCAATGTCCTTTATATAAAGAAAAAAATCTAAGTTCATATTGCTATTTCCCAAATTTAGAATTGCAAAATTTTTAATTCTTCCATTTCATTTTTTTCTTACATTGAAAAATCCTTATTTTTAACTAGCATATTTATTAACAATTTAGTTGCTGAGTAGTTTTTAAACATTTCCTTGTAGTTCTTTGTGCTCTAGGGTACATCCACATAGGGATGTGTAAATTTCTATACTTTAAAGGTCAAAAGGAGTTAAGTAGAGGAAAAGGACCACAGGGTGGAAGGAGGGAAGTGGTAGAAAGTGATACTGGTCAAATTATATTGTTACATTATGTGCATGTACAAATATGTAACAACAAATCCTATCATTATGTACAATTATAATACACTAATAAAAAATGTGGGAAAAGGCCCAAAAGGTAATGAAAATAATCCTGTGTATTTAAGCCACTTGAACTAAGGAAAAGGGAGTATACACTGGACACAAGAGTTTGTTATTCAATTATTCTGACTGATGAGCATTCTAATATTAGCTTGCTGAATGAGGTAGGGGTTATATACAGAACTACTCAGACATTAAAGAAAACAATAATAGCTAACTCTTATGTGTTCTTAACCATAGAGAGGCACTGAACAAAACACTTTTTGAGTATTAATTCACTTAATCTTCAAAATTCTGTGATGTAGGTACTAGTAATATTCCTGTGTTAAAAAATAGAAAATTAAGACACAGAGATTAAGTCACTTTCATAAAAATACAGAGTCAGGAAATAGGCTGTGATTTCAACTCAGGCCTACTAGCTCCAGAACCCACAACCCTCATCTTTATGCTACCCTGTCTGAAAATTATCAAGACGAGACGAAAATAACATTCAGAAGGTAGAAAAATAAACTGAGATGATAGAAGCAATGCAACAATAAACTAAAAAAGAAGAAAAAAAAAAACACAAGAAACAAGTAGGGGAATTTGATTTTATTTTTTACAAATTTTAAATGTTCCAAAACATTTTACTTGGATTTTTCACTAGAAGTAGGAAAAACAAAACAGTAGAGAACATCAGCATAAATATATAATACATACTTTAATCATGGCTATATTAAATGTATCTTAATGTAATACTTCCATAAGTACAACAATTCATATGTGTTTAAAAAAATACAGAGACGTGGTAATAGAGTATTATAGAATTTTGGATTTGTGGCAGATGGGGAACCCTTACTGAAGGGGCCCTAGAAGAAAAGGGAAGGTGAAAAGAGACAGTCTAAAACTAGCATGTTAACCAGCTGTGGGTTCTTGAAAATACCATTAAATGAATCTAGGAATGCTTTTAGACATAGCTCACATTTTAAAGAATATCAGAGAATTTGCAGCTGGACTGTAAAGGAATGTAATTTTATGTTAGGTTTTAGCAATGACTCTCACCTCACTCTAGTATAGGCAAAGGAATAAGGAAAAGTCATAATTTGCACCTTTATCAGTATCAATTAATTCACAGTGGCCAGAAACCCTATAAATGTAGCAAATCAGGCCCTTAATTATGTGTTAAAGTCTTGCTGACTTCAGAAAATTCATACTGGGAAAAGAATCATACAAATTTAAGAACTGTGAAAAATCCTTTAGCAGAGTTTAAATTTTATTAGCTATCAGAGAATTCAAATTGAAGAGCAACCCCACATGTACAAAGTGCAACAGACCTTTAGGTAATAACATCACCCATTAGTAAAGACCACACTAAAAAGAAATCCTTTAAATGTAACAAAATGTGAAGGTCTTAAGTAGTAAGTCATACCTTAATTCAGTATCAGGACTTCCATAGGAAAGAAAATGATATATATAAATAGTATATTTATGAATATACTATAAATACAAGGCATTTACACAACAGGGTTGAATTTGAAGACACAATGTTTCAGCAGTAGACAGGTGCTTAGAGGTGACTTCCCCACCACTTTAGGTAAAACAACACCCACCCCAAATCCTGTTAGCCCCTTCCCTGCTTTACTCTTCATAGTACTGATCACTTGACACTATACTCCTTAAAATGCTTTGCGTTACTTCCTCCTCTAGAACTCTGAAAGAGGAGGGTGTTTAGTAGCAATACCCTTAGTGCCTGAGACAAAAGGCAGTAGTTGCTGAATGAATGGATTATACTACTTTCCTTATATAGAATATTTGGTATTCTAAGGTGATTTCATTCTAAATGAAAAAGAATTTACTTAGAAGGCCTTAACACATACAAAAAAAAAAAAAATTTTTTTTTTTTTCATTTATCACACACCAGAGTAAAAACCACTGTTACTGTTATGGTGTACAAATTATTCTCCAATTGTTTGGATAATGGAAAGTTGTACAAAAAAAGCACCCAGTAATACCTCACCAACCAGTGAGTCTACAAGGGTCATGAAGGCAAAATAAAGTTACAAGCTTCTGAAGATAAAATTCTCTTGTTTTCTCAGGTTTGGAATCTAAATAATATTTTCCTCCTCTGAGGAGATATATATCAACCACTGGTATAAAGAGCATGGCAGTTTGGAATCCAATAGCAGCAACTCTTTTGTGCAGTTTGACACTTTGAATCATGCCTCATTAATTTAAAAAAATTACTAAGGGCGACCATGCCTGAAGCACTGTGTGTAAAGGTACATTTCACCCAGTAGTAAGGAAAATAATTACAAAACAATGTGGTAAGTGTGATAGCACAGGAAGGGAAAACTAAGAAAATAAAACAAAGAAACATCTAATTTAGACTGGAGAAGGCTGATAAAAGTTTTTGGACACAATATCAATGAAGCTGCATCCTAAAAGATAAGTAGGTGTTCACTTGGCCACAAAGAAGGGCACAGAATTAATGATGTCTACCAAGTTATTAAGACTGAAAAAACACAAGCATATTGTAGAAAGAACTGGAAGTACTTATGACTGATTGATCATGATCTCTAAAATAAAAAGGGACAGTCTGTGCTTCTAAAAACCATATTAAAAATTCCTTAAATATTTATATTCAGAAAGCACAAAGGTATTTTCATAATAAAACCTGCTAAAACGCTAAGTTAAATACAAATCTTCTTGGCTGTGCAAAGATAAGCCAGGGGGCTTGGCAGGGATGGGGAGAATTTCTCCTTGCCCTGAAGGCTCTGTATGAATTTTTATGTTTATGAAAAAGAAATATGGGTTTTCAATGTTTGAGAAAAACTGGACTAGAATATGATTACACAGGATGTTTACAAAGAGAAAGCTGGGAAGGTATGCAACTCTGCAAAAGTTCTAAAAATAAGAAAACATGAAGCAAGAAAGATTATGCACAAAAGATGAGGATTTGATGTTTGGACATACTGAACTTAAAATTACTGTGGATGTTTTTCTAAGTGAAGATTATTTAAGAGACCTTTAGAAATGAGATTTAGCAAGCAAGACGGAGGCTGAGGTCCAGGTTACTGATTTGGGAATCAGCTTGATATTATAGGTGGTGGAGGAAGCAATGGCTGTGAATGATATCATATAACAAGATTATTAGAGTAAAAAGGAGGGGAAAAATGAGGGAAAAGGGGGACAGAAGGAAGAGAACTCTAGTAGAAAATGAGAAGTCACCAGGAAAACGAGGGAAATAACACAGATGAAATCTGTAACATAGATTTGTCTTCAAAAGGAAGCAAGCAACCTCTTTTCCTCTGAACAGGGGAAAATGAATAAAAATAGTAAATACTTGCTAATATCCTTCATAGCTTCAACTTTGTGTATGATAGGAGGATGGGCCATGCTCTAGGGGAGGGGCAGAGTATCTGAGGAAAGTGACAAAGTTTGGCTCAAATACAGTGGGAAAAGGGAAAGGCCACCTAGTGACAAACAAAAGGCTTATTGTAAGGGCTTGGGAGACAATGTGATTCCACTTTGAAGGACTACATGCCCTTCCCACAGAACTCAACAACCCAGAAAAGGTAGCTCATTCAATGTTAGGGCTCATAGAATGACTAGCCTAAAGAATAATGACAGAAGGAACAACTAGGGATAGTACATAAGGTGCACCAGAAAGCTGAGGGTGAACAGGGAAGAAAGAAAACCTGAAAGGGGTTTGATAATTTAGGAGTAAGGGGAGCAAGAAAAGGCTGTGAAGAAGCTACAGATGACACAAAAATCAGGAAATAAAAAAGAGGAAAAGATGAGAATTGTCATCAGTTACTGAAATTTGAGATTTCAGAAGGGAAACTCAGGATGGTTAATACTGAAGCTGCTGGAATGTGATAAAGTCACTAGAGCAGAAGTCCAGTTTATTATCAAGGTATCAGACAGCTTATCCCAAGATAGCAGGAGCTGAGGTAGACAGGAAGACTTAGTAAGCAAGATATCAAATCAGGCTCTTTGGCCTTTAGCATTCCATCCCTATTATTAAGGGCAAAAAATGATAAAACTTCAAAAGATGTGCCCTAAAATTGTATGAAGTAATGACAAACTAACCTATCCTTCCTTACTTGAAATATGCATCTTATTTTAAACAAAATAGGAAATCATTTTTAAATTTTCATAGGATGCCTAATAATTTTTTTTTAAGTATTGGGAGATTGAACCAGGGCCTCATACATGCTAGAATTAAAAACTGTAAATATGATTTGTAGTAATACATGGCAAAAGAGCTTAAAACAATGATTCCTTTGTGGAATCTTTTGTTATTGACCTTATTGGAAATGGCATCTGAATATTAGTCATAATCTTTCATTTTGCCTACATTTTTATTCAGAATATCTGTTCAAAGCAATGAGGTGAACTGAAGGATAGCAAACTTTAAGAAAGGGAAATTAGAGTTTATGATATATATATATATATATATATATATATATATATATATATATATATATATATATATTTTTTTTTTTTTAAACAAACAAAAATAACCTAAAGTATTAGGGGGGAAAATATCTGACAAGCTAAATTGGGTTCCTCCTTACTAATGACAGGATACCTGCAGTTCAAGCTGAGTTAGAATAAAATATATGCCATCTTAGATGTTAAGGAATCATTTTTTTTTCCCCCACAGGTTTAAGAATATACAATGAAAGATGAGGATGGCATTTAAAGAAGGGCAACCATACTGGGTATCTATATTACTATAACATCAAATTCAGTATGTCTTTTATTTATTTATTTATTTATTTTCCATCACATGGGTCTTTTTGTCTTTCTGATTGAAAAAGACCACATGAATTACTACTTACAGGACTGCTGAAAGAAATTTAAAATTTGTTTTGCATTTGTTGTATTCCACTCTTGTTCCTTCAGGGGTCCTTCACACACAGATACATACTTTTTCAAAATTTTTTCTCCTACTTCTCGGAAATCCAAGGATTCCTTGTGTGTCATGCAGCTTGCTCCGGAAACACCAGTATCCATTTCACGATTTTCTGGCTGTTGATCCACACAATGTTTCAATCCCCAGTAACACATTTCTCCACTGTACATCATAGCCAGCAAATGAATGTCACTAAATATTCCTGGGAAGGTCATTTATGATGAGAGATCAGAATTAAGTTTAAAGAGAAATCCTAGTTGTTAAAACTCTAATAAATTCCTTGTCATTAAACATCTTTTCATCTCATTTACTTTAATAATAATATCTAGAAATGCCAAATATCACTAATACTATCCTCATTTACATTGTGCTTTTATCCCTATTAACTTATAAAAGATGTTCATCACAACAATAAAAACAGTATTATCAAAGAATTCTTTTAAAGAACTGTTTAAGTTAGTGACCTTAACCTTTTTGGGATGCTCTTAAGGACCTCTTAGAGAATTAATTTAATCAGTGGAACTTCTCTCAGAAATATACTCCAAATTCTGCAGCATTTCAAAATACTCATAAATTCCCTGAATCCCACCCATGAACATAACTCTTATTTTGTGGAATACTCTGGGATCATTGATATAGCTATAGTCAGGTATCCTATAGCTCTTATATTTTTCAAAGTGTCTATCAAAATCACATATCGTCATGCCCCTGGAGAGGTCATACAATTTCAAATTATCAGAGGTGTTTATACCACAGGATTTTGATCACAAGTTGAGTGAATTCTTCTTTTGAGTAGTTTTTCCAGTAGCCAATTATATATTAACACTTATGGTATATAAAGTATATTGATTTGGTAGAAGATTTCAAAAGACTTAGAGCCAGGTGCAGGAGCACAACCTGTAATTCCAATGACTCAGGAGACTATGAGGCAGGAGGATTGCAAGTTCAAGGCCAGCCTCAGCTAAGAGGCCCTAAGCAATTTAGTGAGACCCTATCTCAAAATAAAAAATTATAATTAAAAAAAAAGTGTAAATATGATTTGGGTATGAGATCATACCTAGGAGAATCACCAAAGCTCTTTGAGTCTGCTTATAAATCAGAAAAACTGGGATTCCACAGGCCCTAAACCTGGAGTTTTTTTAAGGAACACATGGAATTAAAATGTGTTTCAGAAAACAAAGTCCTATAAAAATACAAGATCACTTAACTTCTTAAGACCACTAAAATACAAATGAATGGTTTATTCTATTGTACAAATAAATACTTTATTCTAATGTAGAAATAAATGGTTTATTCTAAGGTACATTATAATAAACACATTAGAATTGTGTGATTATAGGGGCTTGAGCTGGAGCTTAGCGGTAGAACGCTCGCCTACCTAACCCTAACCCTAGCTCATGCAATGCGCGGGATTTGATCCTCAGCATCACATAAAAATAAATAAATAAAACAAAGACATTGTGTTCAACTACAACTAAAAAAATATTTTAAAAAAAAGAATTGTGTGATTATAAACATACCTCAGTGATTATGAGCATCATAATCTCAATTCCTCACCTAATTATGGTTCAACAGAAACTATGACCATGATGGCATTAGATTAACAATTCAACTTTCAAAACCTGTAGTACTTACTATTTTAAATCTACTAAAAGATATTTGAAGTTTCACAATTTTTTTTTTACATCTATCACATTCACTTCACCTGAAATTCAGCTTATAAATAGTGGCAAGATAAGCAACAGTTCAATGGAATAGCTGATTCATTAATGCATTTATTAGTTTAAAAATGAAAAAAAAGGGCAGAATCTGAGATTTGCATTCATGAAAATGATAGGCTACACTATATTATATATATATATATATAATATTACATATAATTATATGTAGTATATAATCATATATATTATATATTGTATATAATTATATATAATACTATTAAATAAAATATATAAGTACAATGCCTATTACATATAATAATTTCTTTTTACTTTTTTTTTTAATATTTATTTTTTAGGTGTAGATGGACACAACACAATGCCTTTATTTTTATGTGGTGCTGAGGATTGAACCCAGGTCCCCGCCTGTGCTAGGCCAGTGCTCCACCGCTGAGCCACAATCCCAGCCCCTTTTTACTTCTTAATAGTTAAGATCATAAACCTCAAAGAAAAAGCTAGAGAGCACTATATAATCTAGTATTCAGGATTATTTTATATTAGATATGGCATTTTATTAAACAAATATCCTTTTTATTTGTGTGATCCTACACCTTGAGTAGATAATACTAGAACCACCAGTGTAGGTAAGAAAAGAAAAGCAAAATGGAGGGAAGGTTGAACTTAAAACCTTCAAAAGCCTTGGGGGATGGGACTAACTACATCCCACAAGGTGAAGTGACCTGGGAAAGGTGAGAAGTACCTGCCTAAGGGGAGATCTAAGCTCTCACCCCATTCTTTAGGTAAGCCTCATTTTCTACATTAGCAAGGAGTCAACTGCTTACCAACATACAGATATCCTTTGAGAAGGTATTATTAGAAAGAAAATGATTAGCTAAATGTGAAATGGTTCTTACACTTTAGCCTGCATTTGAATTAACTGGCTCACTGCTGGGCCCCACCTTAGAGTTTCAGATTCAGGTATATAAGTTTGAACCTAAAAGTTTGTATTTTTTAGACAAATTCCTAGGACCTAGTGATGAGGGCCACAAACAAGTCAAGATGGCACCTGGCAGTATGCTAGGAGGAGTGGTTTGAGAAGTAACGCCATCAAGCCATCAAGATGATGTTAATTAAGTTAAGCTGTGTACAATTATTAAGATGATGAGGATTTCTAGATCTGGATGATGCTAACTGAAACAAGCTGTGTATAATCAGTAAGTGTATATATACCTCTGCCGTCCTACAATAAATCGGCTCCCGCTGTTTCAACATTCACAAGTTGCTTGTCACACACCCCCACCACCCCCCACCACCCCCCACCCGCTATTTTGCCCAGCCAGCCAGACTGCAGCAACCTAGGACAATGCTGATGCTGCTGGCTCACGGACTACACTTTCAAAGCTACTGCATTAAAATACCAAAGGAAAGGATGAACACATAAAAATTAGGCACTTTCTACTGTCTACCCCAAAAGGAGTCACTTTTCTATAGATACAAGCTCTTTACTTGTCTCAATTTCCCTTGATGTTTTCTTTTTCTATTAATACTTAGAATGGTTTTTCAATAAAACACTTTGAACTATATGCATATGTGACAGTGAGGAGAGTACACGAGATGCGAGGAGATGGGAGCAGCATAGAGAGGAAGTATAATTGTAACAGTTTGGATCTAGAATGTCCCCCAAAGTCTGTTAAAGGATTGGTTGCCAGTCTTTGGCACTACTGGAAGGTGGAGAAACCTGAAGCTTTAGGAGGTAGGGCCTATCAGAAAGAAATTGGATCATCAAAGGTGTGCCCCTGAAAAGGATATTAAGACCCCAGCCTCTTCTCTTTCTCTGATTCCCAGCTGCCAGGAGCTGAAGAGCTTTGCTTCCTTCCTTGATGTTTTGCCTCAACACAGGCAAGTGACAGAGCTAAGCAATCACTTTCTAAAACTCTGAATCCGGGGGTGGGGGGTGGAAGGTGTGTCTCAAAATTTTCTCCTTTTAAATTGTTTAGCTCAGGTATTTTGTCACAGTGATGGAAAGCTAACACAATAATAATTCATGAAATGAAGGTGAGTGAAGTAGGATGTCTTCCACAGAAAAAAAGCAAGGTGCCAGACTGAAATCTTCTGAAAGCAGTATAGCACAAGTCTGCCAACGTCATAACAATTCACTGAATTTACTCAAAATAGATTCTTGGCTTCAAATATTCAACCAGAATGTGTATAGGGTACACAGAAATCAGTATTTTCAATAAGTTATCCAACTAATTAGTGATACTAGTTCAGTGTTGAGAGCCACAGCTGAAGGGGCCCCAGCAAACTTTCAGACTGCCAGCTGATGATTGGCTCACAGCGCCCCAGCAACATCTAGCTGATTGGCTCCTCTGTGGTGATGCTCATTGGGCTGTTTCCCCGCCCTTTCAGACTGCCAGCTGATAATTGGCTCACAGTGGCCCCAGCAACATCTAGCTGATTGGCTCCTCTGCGGTGATGCTCATTGGGTTGTTTCCCTGCCCTTTCAGACCACAGAGCTTCTCATTGGGGGACTTTTTTGGCTCCGCCCATGCGACCCAGCCAATCGGCCTCAAGAGCAGGAGGATTGTGGGAGGTGGAGAGGCTTGTGGTTGTGAGAGAGGCTTGTGGGAAGCCGGTGGTGGCAGTTGGGCTCTGAGGGTTTTTCCTGAGGAGCGGTTTTGTTTGGCGTGTGGTTCTAAAAATAAAGTTCTTTCTTTTGACAGTGGCTCCTGAATTGTGCCCATCCAGACTGCGGCAGTTCAGAATTGCCCTTTATAGAAGCTGAAATCCAGGTTTTGTATTAAAAAATGGGCCAAAGGGCTTCGGGGGAGGGTTGTTCCTCAGTGGCATTTAAAAGGGGGAACACAGGGGGTGGGGTTGTGGCTCAGCAGTAGAGTGCTCACCTAGCATGTGCAAGGCACTGGGTTCCATCCTCAGCACCACATAATAAATAAATTAATTAATTAAAGGTACAGTGTCCAACTACAGCTGGAAAAAAAATGTTTACAAAAAATTTAAAAACAAACAAATAAATAAATAAAAAGGGAAACATAAACCAAGGATGTGAACACTGGATAGTATTCTGATTTACTCCATTTGATTCCAGGTGTATTCTAATAAAACTATTTTTATAAGCCTTTTATTTGACAAGTCCATACCCAAAGATTAAAATTCTCTAACCTCCACTTCAGAGAAGAGAGACTAAAGTAGCAAAGAGGTGAGATAAAGAGGCTTATACATAATCGTTTGGATTATTAATAGCTAAAAATTTAATAACATATAGACAATGTCCAAAGGACAGACAATACAGTTATTTTCCCTTCTAAGTATCAAAAGGAAGTAATCATAGTAAGCACACACTGTGTTGAGTTTTATGTAAAATTAGGTCAATTATCACCAACATTTGGCCACAAAAAAATATTTTGATGCCTCATAAAGAATTTTTCTCTTAAATACTGTAGTCACTAAGAATTGTATTTTAGACTTGCTAACAAAAATAATTAGATCCTCTCTAACAGGGTATTAAGAGAAATTTAGCCTATGGAAAAAAAAAAAAAAAAGGTTTCCTAGCTCCTAACTTACTCATGTAGAAAGATAAAGATTCAGGTAAATCAAACTTCTTTGGATGACAACAAGAAGTTAATATCATAAGAGGGATGAGGACTTGGCAAAACTTCTGTGGTGCCTATATTTTCTTTTTCTCTGGAAATTGCTTTAGTACCATATCTGACCCTTTTAATTACCCTGTGAAAGAAGCATTTGAAGCGAGGGTTAATGTATTCAAAGCGTGACTAAAGAGAAGGCACTAATATATGCCTCCCGAGAAAGAAAATTCCAGGCCACAGAGTATCTTACCTTAAAACCAGATATAGGAGAATAAGGGAAACAGATGACTTGTGTGACTTTCTCTGGTTCTTTCAGTGCTAATCCTCACCTTTTTCTTTTAAACAGTGTTCCAGGTTAAGTATTTAATGGAATCAGTCCATGTAGGACTGACTTGAGGTGTGGGTTGAGGAAACTGTTTAAAAGATCATTTTCAATAACTCTAATTAGTTCATTAGTTATCTGGTATAACTAATGATAATATATATATTTTCTATAAATACATCAAAACTATATTTGTAGGATGTCATGCCCATTGTGTGAACTCTGTATTCACAATAGGTTGTTTTAGGATAAGATGGTTGTCTGAAATAACAGAACATAACAATTTTTAGACACCACTACAAAGTCTTATGTTAACAGTATTTAAATCACCAGTTTTTGTTTAATTAAATGTTTTCAAATAGAACAGCTCAGGAAGCTAGCAAAGTAACAAAAAGAATTAAAATATATTTAAAATTCTAGAATCTTCCTCAAGATATTTTCTTATTTCTCACATTTCATTTCTCCCATAACAATTTCAGGTGAAACATAAGAAATGAAAATTTACAAGTATACTCCTGTGTCAACCACTGCTTTGTGACCTTAAAGAGATCCCTTGATTTACCTGGACCTCAGTTCCTCCATTAAAAAAAAAAGATATGGTAAAAGTCAGTTCTTTCCCTAACTTCAGTTCAAAATTCCAATGATGCCCAATATCCAGTTCTTAGAACTGTCAAGTGCATAGATATTTGTATGAGAAACAGCTGCCATCCAATATTTATCCTCTCCCCACCTTCTTAGTAAAGAATTTTAATTTGGAATGGTAATTTATCAGGTTAAGAACTATACTTTCCAAGTTTCCTCACAGCTAGGTGAAGTGATTGAATTAAACTGGCCAATGAGTGGAAGTACTGTAAGAGCTTCTGAAAAGGTTGTTAAGGAGCTGACTGGGTTAACAAAATTCCCTTCTGCCATTCCAGAAGCTTGAAACACAAGTGACACAGAAGAGGCTCTGGGAGCATTTTGGAATACCGAGCATGAAAGCAGTGTCCTAAACAGGGATACCTCCTGTAAAACTCTGTATCATCACTCTAAATAAAGTGCCTCCCTCTGAAGCTTAAGAACTCTGATGCTAAAGAGGATAGAAGAAAAAGATAAGAACATGATGTCATGGAGTCACTATAACCTTAATGGATTTTTTTTAATGTGAAAGAGCATTAAATGTCTACATTGTTTAAGTTACTTCTTATCTAACACAAATAGACAAACCTTGTTCTAACCAAGGCCAAGCAAGAATGCAAAATATGTAAAAATAACATGATACAAAACTCTCCCCAAATTATTAAACAGCAGAGATTAGAAGTACATTACACGAAAAGACTTTAATCTCTGAATTTCTTAAAAAGATCTGTTATTACTTTTTGTCTATAATCTAGCTTGAAATGTATTTAAAATACAGAGTAAAATCTAACCAACTTTCTAAAATCTTAAAAAACTTTAAGTCAATTAGAAAATGTTGAAAAGAAAATAGATCACATTACCTGCACTCAGTAATTTAGCTGTGTCTAAGTCTTGAAAAGAAACTCCTTCATTTAACTGGATAGGACACCGATAATTAAGCATTTGTAGTAAGTAATTGATTCCATCAACAAGGTACTAAATAAAAATCAAAGCCAAAGAATTAAAGTATTATATACAGAACTATCAACTTCAAATACTTTTTCCCATTCTTTGCCAGAGAAAATGGGCTAGTATACAGATATATCTAATGGTTATTAAATTTCAATGGTATAAGGTCCCACAACTCCATATTCTCATAATGTAAGTATATTCCTCCAAATAATAATACAGAAAAGAAAATGTTAACCAAGAACACATGCTTCAGTAAAATCCTTATCAAAAAAATACTATTAAAGGAAGAAAAGGATAAATATCATAAAGATGTGTAAAAACAAGTTATTACTGTGTACAATACTAATTTATTAATGTGTACAATACTAACACCCATGTCTGTCTATAATTTGGTCAGAACAGTCAAGATGACTCAAGAGAACCACAACTTTCTAGAAGCAAGGTCATGTGGGCTCTTTAGCAGTAATTTACTGACAGATGAAGGCTTGATCCAGATATTTTCTTCAGACAAGAAAAATTATATATATAGAGATATATATGATTAAGAATTAATATTATTTATTTTATATTAAAAAGTTAAAATCCAGAACTTAAAAAAGCAGGTAGAACCCCCAAATTACAAAGTGCTTTCACATTATCTTATTTAGTAAAAGACCTAGAATGCAAGCCCAGACTCTTTGATTCCACTACTCTTATTATACTAAAGACAGCTTTTTGAAACCTAAATGTCAACAATCAAAAATGTGTAAGAAATGTCTTTTTACCTTTTTAAGCAAACTAGATTTTTTCAAGAGCCACTCTCTTCTTTTGGTCAGAGAATGACAATACATATACAGTAGGGCTCCTCGTCTCCAAGAGAGACATTCAAGTAGCTCATCCCCAAGCAAATCACAAAGCTGAAACACACACACACAAAGCCAAAAGAGAAACCTGATGTCTTTTGGTCAAATTAGAAGTCAAATTTCAAAAAATTGAGCAATTAAAAACACTCACTTCACAAGAGGTGCCCCAGTTTACTAATTTACACAGGAATGCCTATCTTTGAATCAAGCAGAAATACTGAAATTTATTAGTATGTAAAAATTAAAATAACTTTTACATTTACAAATAGTTTTACAAAATAATTCTAAAAATATTTGAGTAGCAAATTCCTCTAACATATTTGAAATATAGTCTACAGTCTGATTAAAAAGATAGCTTTTCAGAAGTGTTAGTTGAAAAAAGATCATATCTATTTCTTTCAAGTAAAGAAATAAACATAAGAGAATCTAATAAGAATTAGATTGCTAGAATAAAATACTGAAAAGTTATACACAAGAATGATTTTAGTAAACCAAAACTTTTGTTGTGGTACGGCATTTAAATCTTGCAATGATTTGTTTCCATAGTTAGCCTCCCCTAATAAATACATACAGCAAAGAAGGTATCTAGGTAGCAAGTCAGCAGGCACTTAAAGATGAGAAATTATTTGCTAGAAAGATTATCCAGGACTAGCGATATAAGCTCTGCAATCACCTAAACAGAGATGATAGTAAAAAGTATGTGATCAGGTTGTCAAGCAAAAATAAAATAGAGACTATCAGAGGAGAAAGTAACGTCCTTAGGGAGTGGCAACTTTTCAAGAATAAAGGAGAGAGGAGTTGCTTTGGAAAGAAGAGAAGGCTTCTCAGAAATGAAGGAGAAAAGAGCATGCAGGGGGGCTCCAAGGGATGGTATAATCGAAAGGCAGCAATTGTCCAGGTGGATCAAGACTAGAAAAAAGATAATAGGTATGGTAATTAGATTTCCAGGGACCGTTAGAGAAAAACATAGCATGTGCAACAGTACAGGGAGCAAAAGTAGGGAATATCTGTGTTTACAAAGGCATACAATTACAATTCCATCATGCAAATATTCTAAAAATATTTAGTAAAATACAATATTTTACTGTCATATTGGTCTGCAGTGGTAAGCTCTCATACTTCCCTCTTTCAATCTTAAAACAGAAACAAAAATATATTGAAAAAGAAAAAAACAGACACTAAGACAGCAAGAAAGCAAGAACCAGAAGCATTCCGCAATAACTTATAGTGCAAAACTTACTTTTGGATGCATATTATTTTCTTTAACTAAAATTTCTGGTTCTGAAAGAAAACTGATTAGTTCTTTTACTTTCTGGTAAGAAGAATCTTCAGGAAAATCTTCATCTACTAGCTTATTCTCCTCAAAATATGTCATGTCCAAAATAGCCTAAACAAAAAAGAAAAAAGTATAAGAAACTTAAACTTTAAAGAATTAATATTAGAGTTTAACTTTGCATATGTAGAAGATATATATGTGTGTATATACATATATATACATCTATATCTCATATATACATACATATATCAAACATTCTAGCATGGTAGTTAAATTTGGGAAGTATTCAGAGTGTCTAGCTATAAAAATAACTTGAAATAGGCATTATAGAAAACGTTACAGGTAGTTGCACATGGTGATGAACATCTAATATCCTAGAGATTTGGGAGCTGAGGCAAGAGGATTCCAAGTTTGAGGCCAGTCTCAGCAACTTAGTGAGATCTTTTCTCAAAATAAAAAAAGGGCTGGGATATAGTGCAGTGGCAAAATACCCCTGGGTTCGATTTCCAGTACTGGGGGAGGAGACAACTTTGTAGGTATTTTATTTTAGTAAAACATTGGGTTAATGGTTATCTTGCTTCTCTCAAGAAATAAAATGAAGATTATATTTTAACATGTTAATCATATATAAGAAATTATGAAAGAGTCATGAATTATTATATTCTTTGCTATTTATATATGTATAATAGCTGAAATTTTTTTAAACACCTGCAGTATTAAGGTCACCACTTCTGGTTTTGTATATTGAAATTTTCAGAGGATTTGTTTTCCCAAATGCATAGTCAGTATTTGAGGACTATATATCCTGCCACTCAATAGTGAATGCATACTATCAGCATATGCAATTCAAACACCAAGTCCCCAGCACTCCTAAATATAAAAAACACTCTATTCAAGCACCTTAATATTTTCCAATCCTTTTTCTTTTTTTTAATCTCCTGAATTAAGACTGAGGAAACTGGGTTCTAGTGTCAATTCTACATTAATCACATAACTAACCAAGGACAAGTTAATTTTATCTTTTCTAAGGCTGTTTCTTCACTGGTAAATGATAAATTGGATTAAATGCCTTTCAAAGTTCCTTCAAAGTTTTGAAGATAAAATTAATTATTACATGTAAAGCACTTGAAACATTACCTAGCACAGTTAGTGATATTTAAAAGATAAATGTTATTGTGTACAAAGCCTAAGCCAGGAAAGAGAGATCACCATCCTATGGAAGATGGTCTGTTAATTCACAACTCAAAGGTTCTAGAAGATGTGGGAAATCTCAATCTGTATCTCTAGGTCTTTTGTACACTTTGGAAACTAAGTACTCTACTTTTTACAACCATTTCATCTTTCTAATCTTATAACAATCAGGAAAAGGCACACAAAAGCACTTTACCAAGTATAATCCAAATGTTAGTTATTATAAAGTTTATTTTTACATCTCAGTTTGTCTCAGCAGTATTTGGAAAAAAAAAAAAAAAAAAAAAACAAGGAAACAGGTATTGTCCACAGAAAGACCTGAATTTAAAGGAAAGTAAAAGAAAAAAGGGGGAACAGAAAAATATTATGAATGTGTATGAGACTAGCAGGGGGAACCATGTTTAGAATCCTGAGAAAAGGTGAATTTCAGAAAAAAAATAATAGGACTGTTAAGACTTCCCTACTCCCTCTGAAGTGTTCAAGCTCTTAAGACACTGAATGTTATTCTGTGTTACCTACACATAAAGGGAAGCAATTCTTTTACCTGCAAGATTTTTTTCCTCACTTTTCAATCAACACATTAAATAAATCCCCCTCCTTTGCATACTGCCTCAAAATTTCAAGTTACTTGCTTTATATATACTTTTTCTAAAATTATACATTTTAAATAAAGAACAAACTGGGGCTGGGGATGTAGCTCAGTGGTACTTGCTTAGTATGTACAAAGCCCTGGGTTCAGCACTGCAAAAACATAACAAAGAAAAAAAAAAAAACAAACAACTTCATTATTAACTTTGGAGTTAATCACCTAAATAAGTAATCTGCCCTCATAAAATGCCAGAGTCCACATCTGTTTCAGTACCTGTGTATAAAGTTCTAGAAGATTTGATGGATTTGAACATTCTTTCTCTTCTCCACATAAAAGTTTCAGTTTTTCCAGAGCTGCTGAGGCCCGAATTAAAAAGTGATCTGTAAAAAAGTTAAAACACATGATTATTTCACAAATTTAGAGTACATAAGTATCTGAGATGACGAAATAAAACTATATTATAGAATATGAAGAAACAGCAAGCACTATCTTATTCAAAATATGAAGTATAACATAATGTCCAATACTAATTAAGTAAATGTATCATGGAAATTTATTCTGGAAAGCAAAAGACTGAAAACTTTCTGCATTCTAAACAGAAAACTGCTATTTCCTAAGTGCAGTGTATATCTTCATAATGCTTCTTTAATAATGCTGATCCATTCAAAATGCTTAAATAATAAATTTATATAGCTTTTATTATAAGAATACAAATACTTTATATAAATCCACAGAAAGGGCTTCTACTGATAATGTGTGATGTCATAATTGTAAAGGTTTTTTTAAAAGAATGATTTACCAAATCAAATGTTTCATAAAATATCAGCACTATAAACAATTATAATTTAATTATAACCTAACTGTGTTTATAGCTATTACAACTAAAATTATGTAATTGTGTATTTTATTCTTTTAAAACAGACATGAAACAAATTACCTTGCTCCTTCAAAATCTGAGGAAAAAGGAATAATAGGTCTACTTATCACATTCAACTCCTCTTCCCTATCTACTATTTTTTCTCCTTTTCATATTATCATTATCCTTTTGCTTCTTCTATGATTTCAGCTATTATGTATTCACACAAAGGCACTATAGATCATTCTATATTACCTCCTATAGTAAACTTTAGATATGTAAGACACTAAAGTCCCTGAGCTTGCCCCTTTGTGTTTCTCCTCTGAAATACAAATCTTTCCTCCTCTTCTAATGGACACATTATATAGCACTTGGTGTGGGCCCATTTGATCTAGACTCAGCAGAAATTGAGAAGATCCATTAAGCTGTTTACTGTCAGACCAAAAGCACCATCAGGATATGTCCATACCATTCATATGATGACCTTAAGTATTCCCAGTTAAAGACTGGGAAAGATAAAGACCCTTACCAGACTATGACTGCTGTTAAGATTCACTATTTACTTGAACTGAATGTTCCCTATTTAGCAGTCTTCCTATCTGTCCTTGGTCCAGAAGTATCAACCGCACAACCCAGAAAATAGATTCCACTATGAACCCAAATTGTACAGAATATAGCGTTCCTTCCAGTGCTTCTTTAGAGATGTTCACCTTTTTTTTTTTTTTAACTTGCAAGATTATTATAAGGTAAAAACTTGATTGAATGGATAGGACTAGAGACCATTATGTTATATGAAATAAGCCAAACTCAAAAGGTCAAGGGTCATATTTTCTCTCATGTGGAAGTTGAGAGGAAAAGGAAAGGAAACAAAAAAAGGTGTTGGGTAATGACTGGGGTGGTCTCATGAAAATCAAAGGGACAAGGGGGTGTAAGGGAGGAGGGAAATACTGGGGAGTAATATTGTCCAAATTTTATTGTATGCATGTAAAAATATGTAAAACAAATCCCATCATTATGTACAACTATAATGCATCAATAAAAATATATGGAAAGAGAAAAAAATAAAATGAATATCCTCAGTATCTAAAAAATTTTTAAAAAGACTAAAGTCCCTGAGCTTGGATTGAAGGCCCTAGACCACTGCTGAAGAGTTGACATGACTACTATAGAGATAATGTTATAGTGGCGTAACTATCATTTTAGAAAAGTCCATAAAAATGCAATACTTCTACTAGAACTATTCAAACACCCACAGGCAAGTCAAAAGATAAAAAGTGATTCTTATATAATCTCTGGAAAAAGTCCCTCTCATAGAATATTTCCATATAGTAAACATACTGTACTTGTACAATAAGAAAAATATTAACAAATATTGTCCAGAAATATAAAGGAGAGCATTTCCTAGATTGAATAACATCTGATTGTACCTGATCTAATTTGAATAAATCAGTGAGAACTATCGATCCCTACAACCTAGTATGAACAAATAGTTGTTACATTAAAGGACAATTTTTTAATATATATTATTTTGTTGTGTGGGAAACAAATGCCAAGTTTAATTCAAATATATTCAATCTTGCTTTAACTAAACTTCATAAGAAAATCCTGATAATAATATTTTAATAAGATCAATTTAAATACTGATTAGTAGTCCATAATGTTACAGCTACTATTGTATTTAACTTTAATAAACTTTCAGAAAAATAGTCTCCAAATATGAATACATCATACCAGACTTTTATTTTCAGACTTCATTCTAGACTGAATTAAAGAATTCCTCCACAGGAAAATGAGAATGACTCATAGGTGCAGTAACAAGTGATTAAAAAATACTCTGTGATCTCTTTGAATTGTTCCAAATTTGGCTGGAACTAGAGGTAACCTGGAAACACTTACAGGTAATTGCTACTACTATCCACAAATTATTCATGTGAATCCTAAGATTCACTTACCACAAACCAAAAAAGAAGTCAGCTTCAGGGTGGTCTGTGGGTCTTTGAAGAACATACTCCTGAGAAGAGATAATCCGGTAAACAATCTTCACTGAAACTAAGTCATCTCATCTTAGATCTTATTCAATAAATTCACCAACTATTCAATCACTTGGGAAAATGTCTCACTGTTGTTCTAAAGAGAAATGAGTGAGCCCACAAGAATTTTAAAACCTACCTGTATGAAGTAAAGGTTCAAATCTCAAAAAGGGGTAATGTAGAACCTATAAGTAGTTAGAAATGAAAAGAGAACTGGACTTGAAGTCAAAAGATCAAAGTAACTCCTAAGTCAGTTTTCTCCAAAGGAAAAGAGCTCAGACTTCTTCAAAACAAGTGTTCTAATATTCACAGAACCCTTGTGAGAACCGAGAAGACACACGTGAATCAAGATCATTTAAATTACACCAATGTAAAGCTCTTCCACAGAATATTATTTATGGTTGCGTTCTAATCCAAAATATGAAAGCAAAAATATTATAATGGAGTAATACAAAAAGTGTCTCTGTTATATATGCCTATTTATCTTTACTGGGTGCAAAACTGCTACTGCTTGACTACTATTCCTCAATTTAACTAATTCTTTAAACGTTCGTGTGTATTTTCAATTGACACTACACTTTTTCCACTCGTTACCGAAACAGATCCGACAGCACACATCTGGCTCACATGAAAACAAGAAAGATTTCATGGGTTACGAAAAATGCGGTTTTAAAAGCAAATGCCTTGTCAACGTAAGTTCCTGAGGGAGGACTGTCCACCGCGCGGCACAGGATCAGAAGAACAGGACCAAGGACCTGGGACCCCCCGGGGCCACAGGCCGCAGCCTCCGGTCCTAACAGCCATGGAACACCAGCCCTGAACCACCGTCCGCCCGGCCGCCTCCCTCTCCTCCGCTCCCTCACCGTCTTCACCCGCGGCTTCACTAAGTTGCTGTATGTGGGCTTGAGCCAGGTCCCCCAGCTCCTCCACTCGCCTCACCACAGTTGAGACTGCGGCCGCCATGGCCACAACCGGCGGGCACGCCCCGGCCACGTGACCACGCCAACCCAACATCACCTGATCCCCCACCTTCTGCTGGGCGAGGGGGCGGAGCTCGACTGGCTGCTGGGAGGAGACTTCAGCTCCGGGAGAGAACCGACCAGGGCCCACAAAGGTCGTTCCGGGGTGTTTCATTCCTCCGGACTGCCTCCTCCCTCCCATAATTCTGTGCAACCCTGGCTCCAGGGGCGGGTGTGATGCCGGGGCACACCTCCCTCCTGCCCCCTTCTCTAAACCAATAGGGAGCCACCCATGCCCCAAGGTGAGCCAATGGGAAACCAGCTCTCTCCGCCGGCGCCGGGGAAATGAGCGCCACCGCGGCAGACCCACCAGCCGGAAGAAGGAGGTCGGAATGTCTGGAAAAAGGATCAACGGGTTTGGCTTGGTAGCGAGGGAGGTTACCTAAAATAAAATTATAATCTCTCTGTCAGAAACCGAAAGCCTGCCGGCCCCCGCGCAGCACATCCAAGTCTCCCGCGTGGTCTGGGGGAGGGGGAAGGGCCCAACGGTCGCGGAAGTTCCCAGTCTACGTGGTGGAATTATCCTTTCTAAGGCCGAATTTCAGCGGTTGACTTTGTTTTGCCTCCGTCTTCCCCTAACCTGCGCACGTTTATTGCACCCGTCTCGCTTCCAACTGTAGTAAAAGTTGCAGCTACAAAACTCTTTCTGTTATATGCAGTTCTTCTCGAGACCCTTCGTAGAGGCGCTAAATTGTGAGGTTCAGGCTCTCAGTTGTGAGGTTCAGGCTTTTAAATAGCTCTTCTGCTTTGTGTTCCCCGACTGCTTTCTTGAATTCTGTTTTTCAGTTTGGCACAGTATATCCATCTTCTTTCCTACGGGAGGTAGGTTTTTTTTTTTTTTAAACTTAATAAAAAAAATACTTAAAAGTACGGAAATATTGTATTGTGATTTTATAAGTAATTGACCATAACGACTTTCTAACAGACCTGATTTCTTTCTCTGTCAAATCACCTTAATATTGTGTGTTAGTTCTGTGTCCCCAGAGCCTCCTACAGTGCCTAGCACATAATACTCAAAAAATATTTATTAATTTGAAAAACAAAGCAAACCTCCAGTTGTTATAATCAAAATTTCTGAAGGCCAGGAAGTTTACGTTGTATAATCATGGTGGGCCAAAGAAATGTAGTAGGCATCTGAAACTTTGAAGTGCCAAACCTTAAAAGTATATTCTGAGCAAAACTTATAATTCCTATGAAATATTAAATAACTGTAAACTTTTAGCTGGAAACATACTTAACACTGGGAATTATTACTCAATTGATACACTGGTGTGTGCCTATTTTCAAAGAAAAAGTTGGATGAGATCTGAGAATATTATGGAGTATTATGGAGTGTGTGGTTCAGACTTAATTCCAGACAACAAAATGAAAAGAATGAGACTATTAGCCCCTCCAAACCTTAGCATGATTCTGTGGTTAGTCCAAGACCATACCAAAGCAAACACCCATATAAAGCCCTCTTACCATAAAGTCTTACCATAAAGACACACAGGAAATAGTCAAGTCTCACCAATGTACACTAGACAAAGTGCTCAAAGCCAGAGAACACCTGTACTAGAAAAGAAATACTTTTACTCCAACTCAGTTTTTTTTTTTTTTTAACTTTAGGAAACCCATATAAATAGAACAAATGACAAATACAATACTAGTTTATTTTTAATTTCAGAGAAATTAATAGCTGAATAATAATGTACCAAAAATTTCTCATAAAAGGAATAATTGATCTCACTGACCCATTTACCCCACCACTGATATATAGTGGATAAGATCCATTTATGTTTACATAAATATAAAATTTTTGGTTATTCTTGAATTAACTTCTACCATTATTTTAGAACCTTCTTTCAATCATTTTATATTTCTGTAGGCATTGAATTTCCTTTTTAAAACTCCCAATGAACAGAGATACATAGATACATGCATATACACACACAGATTTTATTTCCACCAGTGACTTTCATATAATATAACTTTATTACACAATTGCTCCCTTTCTCATTTAATGAGCTATTATTGGGTCAGGCACAGTGATAGGCACTGGAACTATAGCAATAAACATAATTAACATGATCCCTGCCCTCTTATAGCTTATTATCTAGTAAGACAGTATAAAAATAATAAGAACAAATAAATGCATAATTTTAGAATTGTAGAAGGTGTTGAGAAGGAAAAGTTAAAGGGATATGATTTGGTTTGAGAATCCCTCTAATCAGAGAAGGCATCAGGAAATTATACTAACACCTAAATAATGAATAAAATTAGCCAGTTGAGTGGAGAGCATATAAATCTTCATGCAATCAGAAGAGAAACCACAAGGTAATTTGAATATGGAAAGTTCTATATAAGGAATTATTAAGTATAACAGGGAACTAGAATGACAATGGATTGGCTACTGAGAAGCCAAAAAAAATTTAAATAATAAATGAATGGCAAGTATTGGGAGCAGCTGTTACCATTGGAACAGAGATTCAGACCTTGTAAGAGAACTTATGGCCATGGGTCACTGGTCAGCAGAGAAGTTACAATAGTCCTTGCAAGTGAAACTTCCTGGAACTCCATCCTCTAGAATTTGCTAGAAATCTGTCCTGTAGGTTTCCAGGGAAAGACATTTATGGGAAAGCATTTCAGAGTGGGCAAACTGCCTGAGGGGAATGCCAGGAGAAGATGCTGGCTGCCATGCATTACAGGACTCCAGTGCCCAAAGAAGCTGCATCTGTGGTAGGAGCCAGACGTCAGCAAGCCATCCATGCTTCAGGAGCCTGCCAAAACACACACACACACACACACACACACACACACACACCAGGAAATACCTTTTTTCCTCCTGCAAGGCATTTCTAAATCCTTCTACTCTCAAAACTTAACATCATATCAGCTGACAAAGGAAAAATGATTAAAAGGCCCAGATATATTTGCACAAAACAGGGCAAAAAGATAAAATTGGAACTGAGAGGCGATAAAATCTATAACTGGAATAGTGTGGGAAAACATGTTAGGTGCAATAGATAACACAAGCAAAGACTCTGAATTTTGAAAGAGCATGGAATTTGCAGGAATAAATGAAAGTTAAAAGCTCCTACAATGGAAGGGAAAGTGAAGCAATGTGAGGCCTAAAAGCACACATGGAGGTTACCTGTTGAGTGCAGAGCTCCCTCACAACCATGGAAATGGACCCCAAGACCCGAATGTGAGCCCCAAATGTCAACTGAGCCTGTATTTGGGGACCATGGTGAATTCATTTATTTAATTATATAGTAATTAATAGAAAATTTAATTCATATTAGCTCTTTGGGGACATCCACCCTATTACCAATAGGGTCATCAAAACATAAGAGATCTGGGTCCAAATACTACCTCTGTTCTTTTACACTTACCATATGATGATGGGAAAGTTCATTAAATTTTATAACCCTCCATTCTTCATTTGTAAAATGAGGATTGTGATAACTATCCTTGAGTTGTTCTAAGGGTTAAATTAAATGATCTTTGTAGGTTGTCAGACTATTCTCCTACATATAGTAAATAAACAGTACATAGTAGTGAATAAATGGTTATTAACTGCTGGCCAACCCCAACTTAATTCATTAAACCATATATTTATTGATCATATGCCTTGATTGGCAAGTTCTGCTGTATAAAACATACACAACAGAGGAAATGGATCATTGTAAATGAATGATCTCCACCCTCAGCAGAGGCAGCTATTTTTCCTTAGATCCATTCTCAGTTCCTTCCCACAAAGGCATTTAAGAACTTCACCACTTATATCCATGGATTCAATAATAAAAAGAAATGACTTGATATATGCAAAAGCATGGATGAATCTTAAGGGAATTATGGTGAGAAAAAAATAACAAGCCAGAAAAATTATGAACTGTATGATTATATTTGTTGTTCTTAAAAATGACAGAATTATAGAAAAAGAGAACAGATTGGTTTTTACCAGGCTTAAGAATGGGGGAGTATGAATGAAGGGAGGCAGGTGGTTTTGGTAATAAAAGAGCAGCTTGTGGTATAACTGTCCTATCTGTTGATTTTGATGATAGATGCAAGACTACATGATCATATTTCATAGAACTAAATATACACACACTGTTACAGTCTATATATGAGGTGTCAATCTCATGTGTGAGACAATGCAAGAATGTTCAGAGTTTAAATGATTTATTTCTGAGAGTTGTAAACCTAATTAGCCGATTAATTCCCTTATGGATTAACTGGGTAGAAAATTATAGGCAGGTTGAAAGTGGCTGGAGGAAGTAGGTCACTAGGGCTGTGACTTTAGGATTTACATTTTGTCCTTAGTGAGCAGAGCAGAGACAGCGCGCGGTCTCTCTCTCTCTCTCTCTCTCTCTCTCTCTCTCTCTGTCTCTCTGTCTCTCTCTCTCTCTCTCTCTCCTTCCAGGCCATTGCATCCTAACTTGCTTCCCTCTGCCATGCCCCTTTGCCTACATCCCTCTGCCATGCTGCTCTGCCTTATCTTGAGACCAGAGCTAGGGAGTTGGTCGACCATCAGCCGAGCCTCTGAAACTGGGAGCCAAAATAGACTTTTCCTCCCCTGCATTGTTCTTGTCCAGTTTTTTGCTCACATCAACAAAAAAGCTAACACACACACACACAAATTGAGTTAATGTAAATCCAGTAAATCTGAAAAAATTTCATAGAGTAAATCAATGGCAATTTCCTTCTCATGATTATCACATTGTAGTTTTGCAAAATGTTCCTTTGGGGAAATGGGGGGAAAGGTACAATGAGATCTTTTAGTACAGTTTCTTACCGTCACATGAGAATTCACAGTTACCTAAAAATGAAAAGTTTAATGTAAAAAAAATGTCACCATATTCCCAGTGTGATACATCATTTGAAGTGACTTTTGACATAGAGAAAAGAGTGGAGGGTTAAGGGGAACTGACTAGTTGGCAGGACTTTATGAGCAAAACAACATAGAGAG